GAGATTCCTCATATAGCCCCTCACTGTATGTCTTGATTGCTTTTTAATATCTAGCATATTTATAATACTCATAGCTGTTCAAAAGTCCTTATCTACCAACTCTAATCTAAGTGGCTCATCTATTTGTACCCCTCATTAGAGATCACATTTTTATGGTCTTTCCCTTGCTGAGAAATTTATGTTGTGCATTGTGCATTGCGGGACTATATTGTTGAGAGTCTTAAATTTTGTTGTCTTCCTTTTGAGAGTATTGGCTTTTGTTTAGGCAAGCAGTTAACTTTGTGGAAGTTGAGCTCTCTTCTGCTGAGTCTTCTTTCTAGGATTTGCGAGTTTCATAAAGGCTAGAAACATGGGGCCAGCACTGTGAAGTATCGGATAAGGCCACCACTTGCAGCCCCAGCTTCCCATGAGGACACCAGTCAAAGTCCCAAAGCTGCCCGTCTGATCCAGCTCCCTGCTGAGTGCTGAGAGAGCAGTGGGCGACAAGCACCTGGGCCCCTGCACCCACCTGGGAGACTGGAGGAAACCCTTGGTTCCTGGCTTCAGACTAGCACAGCTTGGGCTGTTGTGGTCATTTGGGGAATGAACCAGAGAATGGGGAATCAATCTCTCTCTCTCTCAACTTAGCCTTTCAAACGAATAAATTCTTTAAAAAAACAAAAGCAAAAAGACTTGACCCTAGAGGCTCTCACTTTCTGAGGTCTCAGCTAAATGTACAAGCTGTCGAGTGAGTTCGGTCCACCCTGGCTTGGTGAAACGTCTCAGCACTGCGATCTTCAGGGTCTCCCCTCAGCTCCTGGTCCCCAGTGACTGTTCTCTCTCCAGCATCCGGAGCTGCTCCCTACATAGGGGCCTGACACACTTGTCTTTAACCCTGACACAATCTCTGGCCACGTCAGCTGTTCTGAGCCACAGTCGGCCTGCTGTGCCCAGCGAGCCCACGGTTTGCCCTGTGGGGCCCACACCTACCGGCAAGAAATCTGGGGTCTCCGTGGACTTTACCGCCTTTGCTTTCCCTCTCCCAAGAATTAGAATATGTCGTAATGCATCCCTCAGTGTCAGTTATTATGACATTTTCAGTCTGGTTTCATAATTGGTTAAGTCCCCCAGCTGCAGTGTTCAGGATGAATCTGTATGTGGGCCTTCAGGGCAGCTTGCTTTCCGATGTCAGTGTGAGCTTTCCAACGTCAGTGTGAGCTTTCGGTGAGTACTGCCAAGGGAGTGTTGATCAGTTCTCTCTTCCCACCACCGTCCTGTCGAAGGGGCTCTGTGGCCTCTGTGCTGGCGGCAACCAGTACTGTGCCAAACCACAAAACTCAGGGTGGCTGCGGCAGCCATGTCCGTGCCAGAAGGCTTCAGTGCCTCCCAGGAAGCAAAGCTTAGCAGGAGAAGCAAGCCGGAGACAGGACAGGGAAGCTGCAGACGACGACAGATGAGCGATAGCACACAGACGGCAGGGCCCACGGCTGCTCAGAGGACAGGGTGGACAGCGAGGCCTGTGCCATGACTGTACAGCAACAGGTTGTCTTAGCTTATGTTCTCTGGAAAGCGTAGAGTACTCCAACAAAGGATCTTAATGTCGTTTTTTCCATTTTCTTCTTTTTTTTTTACACCGTTAATATTGCACTTGATCTTAGCCAAAAGGCTGAGAAGCGATTGCTCAGTGCCCGATCATGGCGCTGAATGTCTTTTTAAAAACTAATTCTAAATAACAGTTGAGTTACAGTGGGTGATTCTCCCTACTACCCAGATCACTGAACTTACTCCCTGTCCTTTCTAAATCCCTGCATTTACCACATGTGTGTATGTCCCAGGGTTAAAAAGAAAGCAAAAGAAAATTATATATAAAAAGTTATTAAACCAGAAAATTGTCTTGGGAAAATAACCGTGCAGTAGAAATTACGCTTTGAAAGAACTTGAGGCGTGGTAGGGGTGACAGGAGGGGTCGACAGGGGTTTGCGTTGTTGCCCAGTAGGTTAAGCCACCACTGCATTCCAAGTCGGAGTTTCTGGTCTGAGTCCCAGCTACTTCACTTCTTCTTTTTTTAAGAGATATTTGTTTTTAATGCAAAGGCAGATTCACAAAGAAGAGACAAGGAGAAAGATTTTCTATCCTCTGGCTCACTCTCCAGATGGCTACAACAGCCAGACGTGAACCAATCCAAAGGCAAGAGCTTCTTCTAGGTCTCCCATGTGGGTACAGGGTCCCCAGGTTTGGGTGCAGCCAGGTCACAAACCAGCGCCCATATAGGATGCTGGCGCTTGCCGACATCAAGCCATTGTGTCGGCCCAAGCCACTCCCCTTCTGTTTCAGTGTCCTGCTGGCTCACCTGGGAGGCAGCAGACGCTGGCTCCAGTGCTTGAGTGCCTGCTCTGCACTGGGGAGGCCTGGTGAAGCTCCAGGTTCCTCAGGCTGACCTGGCCCAGCCCCAGCTGCTGTGGCCATCTGGGTGCTGAATCAGCATATGGGAGATCTCTCTTTACTCATTCCCGCTCTGCCTCCCTTAAATTTCAAAACTAAAATCTAATAAATAAACACATTAAAGAGACGAAATGGAGTTTTGAAAATATTTTATCGTACAAAACGTCAATAGTAAGAAAAGCAGAGTTTACAGGTGTTCATCCTACTCTTTAAACTTTGTTTCGCATAAATAATATTTGCATCTGGTGAGAAAACAGAGGCAAGGGCGGGGGGAAGAAAAAAATGAACAGATACTTCGTTGTTTGCCCTTTGTGAAGTGGCAGCGGCACGAGGACTCCCCTGTTTTCTCAGATGTGGCAAGACAGCCCGAGGGCAGGAGTGTTGCAGGAGAGGGCACCGGGGCCCAGGCTTGGCTCTGTCGGGTGCCGACAAGGCCAGCTGTGCCCTTGCTCCTGGCTTCTGGCTTCTGCCTGCCGGAAGTGCTGTGACTCACACACCTGGCAGGACCAAGCAGGAACTGAACCGCCACCGGGGATCCACAGCAGTGCACCCCGTGGCTCCGAGGCCCACGGCCTTTTCTTGGAAGCTGCCATTGCTCTCAGGACAATGTGTCGCATTCATGGCCCTGTAGCGCAGCTCCAGTTTTGTCATTTGCCCTGCTCAGAAGCTTCTGGAGGCTCCCCAGCCACCTGCGCTAGGTTCAGAGTCAAGGGAAAGAGTCCATGAGAGACATGGCAGTTCTAGGATGAAATTCACTTAAATGGTTTAATTTTTGAAATTTCTTTGACAGGCAGAGTCATACAGAAAGAGAGAGATCTTGCATCTTCTGATTGATTCCTCATGTGGCTGCACTAGCCAGGCCGGAGCCAGGAGCTTCACCGGGTTGCTCATGTGGTAGCAGGGCACTCACTCCACCCTTCCACTGTTTTCCTAGGCTCAGTAGCAGGGAGCTGGATCAGAAATGGAGCTGCCAGGGCTTGAACCAACACCCAGATAGGCTGCCTGCCTCACAGGTAGCACCTTTACTCACTGCCTGCTCCCCCCCCCCCCGACCTCGTCCAGACTGAAATAGAAGATGCCAGGATGGCACAACTGTATATTTGTCACTTCTTTGTTTTGGCCATGCTTTTCCTCCTGTTGAAATGCCCGCTACCTCAGGAACGTCCCTGTCCTCCCGAGTGCCCAGTGCCACACCCTCAGCCGTGAGAAGGCCCCGGCTGCGCCCTCAGCCGCGTGGCATGTCTTCTGCGTGTGTCAGTGACACCAGTGACGTGCTTTCCCTGCTCTTCACGGACACTCGCTGTGGACTTCTTGCCCCTGTTCAGCTGCCAGCTTTGTGAGAGCGATGCCCTCTCTTATTTATCGTAATATCCCTTGTTGTGGCAGTGTCCGGTGTGTGGCAGGCATCTGGAAATATTTATCATCATGACCACTTCCCCTACTTGCAAGGTGAAGTAATTCTTTCTAATGTGTCCTCAGCTTCTCTTTCTCAAATGGCAGATGCACTTCCGTCCTCTTACCAGGCACTGTGATCCTCTAGGCTCCACCGTGTTCCTTCTTAGCCCTTTTTTAAATATAATTAAAGACTATTTATTCAGGGCCCAACAAAGTAACCTCGTGGCTAAATATTTGCCTTGCACGTACCAGGATCTCACAGGGGTGCCAGTTCATGTACCAGCTGCTCTATTTCCCTTCCGCCTCCCCGCTTGTGGCCTGGGAAAGCTGTCAAGGATGGGCCAGAGCCTTGGGACCCTGCACCGGCAGGGGAGACCCAGAAGAAGCTTATGGCTCCTGGCTTCAGATGGGCTCAGCTCTGGCTGTTATGACCACTTGGGGAGTGAACCAGTGGACGGAAGATCTCTCAGCCTCTCTCTGTAAATCAGCTTTTCCAGTAAAAACAAATCTTAAAAAAAAAAAAATTGAGTACATTTTTTAAATTTACTTATTCGAGGGCCCAGTGCAGTAGCCTAGTGACTAAAGTCTTCGCCTTGCACATGCCGGGATCCCATCTGGACACCAGTTCATATCTTGGCTACTTGTGACCCTGCACTGCGTGGGAGACCTGGAAGAGATTCCTGGCTCCTGGCTTCAGATCAGTGCAGCTCCAGCCATTGCGACCACTTGAGGAGTGAATCAACGGATGGAAGATCTTTCTTTCTGCTTTTCCTCATCTCTTTCCAATAAAAATAAAATCAATCTTTTTTAAAAAATTATTGATTCAAAAGTCAAAATTACAGAGAGAGAGAGAGACAGAGGTTTTTCCATTCACTGATCCAAATGACCACAGCAGAAGAAACTGAACCAGTGCAAAGCCAGGAGCCAGGAGCTTCTGCTGGGTCTCCCACACGGGGCAGGGACCGTCCGCCACTGCTTTCCCACGCTGGATCAGAAGTAACATAACTGGCCTCAAACTGGAACCCATACGGGATGCCAGCCGACAGAGGCTTTACACGCTCTGCCACACACATGCCCCCGCCCCTTGGCCTTGTTGGGGCCAGCATTGGTCCGGTGAGGCGTGCTGTGTGTCTGCCCGCAGAAATGCAGCTGGGATGGTTAACTTCCTGCCCGTCTCCACACAGGGAGATGTTCTTCACCACCATGGAAAGCCACCTGCTCCGCTGCAAAGTGCTGGAGATCATCTTCCTGCACAGCTGCGAGACGCCCACCCGCCTGCCCTTGTCTCTGGCCCAGGCCCTCTATTTTCTCAACAATTCCACTTCGCTGCTCAAATGTCAGGTACGCCTCTTCCTGCTTCAGTTCCCGCCTGAAATCACCGTCTCCCTTATCCTGACGGTGGCATCTGAGTTTGCAGCATAATTCTTGAAGGCCAGCATTCGCACAGCGCATTCAGCTGCTGGCATCCCATAGCAGAGGACTGGTTCAAGTCCCGGCTGCTCCACTTCCAATGCAGCTCCCTGCAAATGCACCTGGGGGGGGCAGCACAGGATGGGCCCGGTGCTCAGAGCCCTGCACACACAGGGAGACCAGGCTCGCGCGCCCAAGTCCTCGCTGCTGTGTCCCTTTCGGGAAAGAATGACCAGAGAAAAGATCTTGCTCTCCATCTCTCTCTCTCTCTCTTCCTCCCTCTCCCCATTTTCTTTCTCACTCAAATATTATTTTTCAACTAATTATTTAATTTTTCAAATGAATAGATCTTTTATTTTTAAAAAAAAAAAAAGTGACTTGAAGACTACTTTTAAAAGTTTGCAACTTGAGAAGACACTTCCCATCACGTGCTCTTGCTGTCTCTGCAGTCTAATAAAAGCCAGTGGCAGACCTGGGATGAGCTGGTGGAGCACCTGCAGTTCCTGCTGTCCAGTTACCAGCATGTCCTCAGAGGTAAGGAGCGATTGTCAACCGACAGGTCTCGTGGGGGGCCTCACCATACTCTACGGGGGCTGCGCTGGGGACTTCATCTGTTGGCTTACAAAAAGCATCATTCCTTGTGAGACTTACAAGGACCAAGGAGTTACACAGCTGTAATTACTGCTGCAACAACAACAGCAGCAGAATCCTCATCTTGTTGTGATAGATAGTGCAGTGGGCTTCGTAGTTCTGGGTTGTCTGGATAAGTGAAAGCCATCCTAACAGTGAGGAGTCAGTGATGCTGTGACTCGTGACTCGCCCCGGCACCCCACCCTGGCCTGTCGCTGCAACATATGGCTGGGTGCGTTGATTTCTGACTCTGGACATTGTAAACATCTGTCAGCACACACACGAAGCCCGTCAGTGGCAGTGTGAACACGCACAGCTTGCCAAAAATATTTGTGTGTATATGCATATATGTGTGTGTGTGTGTGTGTGTGTGTATGATTCGAGAGTACTTATAAAAGTTTGTAGAAAATATTAAAAAAAAGAGAAGCTTATTTTTGGTCCAGAAGCAGTCTTGGAATGCAGGCCTCGTTGTTTTGATAACACGTATTCCCATGAACTTGTTCGAGTGGCCACACATCCAGGCATCTGAGACGTGGCTCTTCAGGGATGGTCAGATCACGGCCAGCGAGGATGTGGGCGAGTGAGAACCATGCGGGGGCAGGTGTGGACGGGGTTATGGCGGGCCGCTGCAGGAGCTGAGCAAGTGAGGCCCTGGAGGAACTGAGCAGCCGGTAGCAGGAGAGAAAAGGGGCAACGCAGCCTGACAGAGAGAAGCCCGACGTGGCCTCCCGGATGCAAAGGACTGAAAAGGACCCGTCAGGACGTGTGACAGGTGCTGGCCGGGCAGTGACAGCAGGGACCTAACTGCAGGGCGGTGGCGGACAAGCCCACCCTGTGCGACCTTTGACAGAACAGCTGGCCTGTCCTTTGCAAAAGAACCAGTGCCTCTGGAACAAAGCAAGATCGAGCTGAGTGTTCCAAGTGGAGGAGAAACGAAAGCACTCCCGTGCCACACGCAAAACACGATCCAGGGCCGGACCTGAACCAGGAGGAAGCCATGGAAGGGGTACATGAGCACATTACTGGACCAATGGGCTTTAAAAAGATTCACTCCTGAGATACGCAAGAGACGGGCATTTCCTCCGGGTCTCCCGTGGTAGCAGTAGGCATCCAGCTAAGCAAGCCGACACCCACTGGGCCCCAGGGTGCGCTTGACCAAGAAGCCAGCATCAGCAGTGGGACTGGGCCTCAGAGCAAGCCCAGCTATGTCAGGGCGAGACGCGGGCGGCCAGCAGCTCCTCCCTGCTGCGCTAGAGGCTGAAGAGGCGGTGGCAGTGGGAAGATGATGATGGTGTCTTTGGTCTGAAGGAATCCGTGCTGAAGGGCAGAAGGGCGCAGCGTCTCAAACACTGAGAAAACGGGGATACCTATGTCAAGGTCAACTATAACTCGGTCATGACGACTGGGGAGGTGAGATCACCCGTAGGCCTTTGGTGACATTAACCTGAGAGAGCTAGTGTCACGACATGAGCAGAAAGGAGGCCCTGAGTATAGGGCAGGGGGTCTCTGGGTCTAAACCCCAACTCCACTTCTACTGTGCTGGCCAGGCAACTCCGTGTCCCCGGGCTTCCTTTGTCCCTTGTGGACATGACCATACTGGCCTTGAGAGGATTTATCACCCGCAGGCTGAGACTTGGGCTTGCAGTCTGTGACTTGCTCAGCACCTCCAGCCGGCACTCCTGCCCTGCCCAGAGCCGGCACTCCTGTCCTGCCCAGAGCCGGGGCCTAGAGGCGGGTGCCTCGCACGCGCCCCCTTGAGGTTAAGTAAGCTGCTTGTTCTCTCTCTCTCTCTCTCTCTCTCTCTCTCTCTCTCTCTCTCTTTCTCTCTCTCTGGCACTTAGCGCTTGAATCTTAAGGCTCAGCCATATACCTGTTCATTAACACACAGGAGCAACATGCTTGGACGTGAGACCTGCTTTAAGGATGTATGCATTTATGTAAAAGACAGAGTGAGAGAGTCCACTGGCTGGTTCACTCCCCAAATGGCCACGATACCCAAGTCTGGTCCAGGCCCAAGCCAGGAGCCAGGATCTTCATCAGGGTCTCACACATGGACAGCAGGGACCTAAGCAATTGGACCATCCTCTACTGCCCTCCCAGATGGGAGCTGGATGAGCAGGGGAGCAGCCAGGACATGAACTGGTGTCCAGTCGGGATGTTGGCAGCGTCATAAGCAGCAGCTTACCTCACTCTGCCACAGCATGGACCCTGACTCCACTTTTATTGAAGAGCATCTTTGCTCCTTGGTAAGGGAGAAGAGGGCCTCAGGTTTATTGAGCCAAAATGAGTGAGGTTTGTTCCCATGCTGCTCTATCCTTAACGCCCTCTCCAGTTCCACTGGAGACCAAAAATTAAGGAGAAGAGGGCCCCGGTGCGGTGGCCTAGCAGCTAAAGTCCCTACCTTGTAAGCACCAGGATCCCATATGGATGCCGGTGCTAATCCTGGCAGCCCCGCTTCTCATCCAGCTCCCTGCTGGTGGCCTGGGAAAGCAGTCAAGGACGGCCCAAAGCCTTGGGACCCTCCCCCGCGTGGGAGACCCAAAAGAAGCTCCTGGCTTCAGATCGGCTCAGCTCCGCCATTGTGGTCACATAGGGAGTGAACTAGCAGATGGAAGATTTTTCTGTCTCTCCTTCTCTATATAAATCTGCCTTTCCAATAAAAACAAATAACTCCAAAACAAAAAGAAAACTAAATTCGATATCGACCTTGACACCTTGATGTTGTATTAAAATAGACACATGGAAGTCTTGCTGGAGGTGACGGCTCGTGGCTTCCTACCCTCCCTGGACATTGCCGAGTTGCTTTTGCGCACAGCGTGGCCGAGGAGAGCCTGAAGCTCTGCTTTGCAGGCATCTTTCTGGACGACAGAGCAGCCCAGCTGGACACCTCGCTGCAGGGCTGCCCGTGGAGCGCAGCCTCCCGCCCCCAGCCTCATGCTGGAACCCCCACATCATGACAGATTGCATACGTGGTGCGCGGTTTTACTGAAGCTTCTGCATAGTCAAAGTCCCATATTTGGAAAGTTACCAGTTCTCGGACTGTACATAGACTATGTAAGCACACCACACACCTGCTGTCCCTGAGCGCCGCGGGGTGCACAGCCTGGGGCTGCCCACAGAGCCCAGAAGCCGTCAGGCCACGGAGCAGACACAGCCCCACCTGTAGTGGAGGGAGCCCAGGGCGCAGGGTGGGTTCCAGGGCAGCGGGAGGGGCTGTGAGGGCTGCATGACGGGAATTCAGGCTGATGGGGAGAGTAACAGGGGAGCCCCAAGAGTGGGTTCAAGATGAGATCTGCACACTTAGGTCTCTCTGCTGCTCACAGCAAGCAGTGGCACGTGACGAGGGTCAGAGGGGTCCGGCAGCGGTGAGGGGGTGTGGGCAGAGCCGCAGGGCCCGGGGCAGAAGCCTCGTGGGGCTTGAGTGCTGAGTCTAAGGGATGGCTGCTGGGCTCTGACATCCCTGGCATGGAGGACGTGTGCGGGGAGGATGGAGAGCTCACTTTGATGTGGTACAGCAGCGGTTCCCATGGCGACAGGGTGGTGGTGGTGGACAACGACGGAACAATAGCTGAGGTCAGCATGCGTACCAGTTCAAGTCCCAGCTGCTCCATTTCCGATCCAGCTCCCTGCTGATGCTCCTGGGAGCCGTGGCGGATGGCCCAAGTGCTATGCACCCCTGCAGCCAAGTGAGCGCTGAAGAAGCTCTCAGCTTCAGGCCACTCCAATAACCATTTGAAGAGTGGACCAGCAAGTGGAAGATCTCTTTTTTCCCCCCTTTTTAGGGTTTATATATTATTTTTATTGGAAAGGCAGATACACAGAGAGGAGGAGAGACAGAGAGGAAGATCTTCCATCTGCTGATTCACTCCCCAAGTGGCTATAACGTCTGGAGCTGAGCCAATCCAAACCCAGAAGCTTCTTCCGGGTCTCCCATGTGAGTGCAGGGTCCCAAGGCCTTGGACCGTCCTCAACTGCTTTCCCAGGCCACAATTAGGGAACCAGATGGAAAGTGGGGCCGCCAGGATTAGAAACAGTGCTTATATGGGATCCTGGCACATTCAAGGCAAGGACTTTAGCCACTAGGCTACCACACTGGGCCCGGAAGCTCTCTCAGTCTATTTCTCTCTCATTCTGCCTTCCGAGTAAAGAAACAAAAAAAAAATTTTAAAGACAAAAATAACTCTTCTTGGGCCCGGCGCAATGGCGCAGTGGTTAAGGTCCTCGCCTTGCACGCCCGGGATCCCATATGGGCGCTGGTTCTAATCCCGGCGGCCCCACTTCCCATCCAGCTCCCTGCTTGTGGCCTGGGAAAGCAGTCGAGGACGGCCCAAAGCTTTGGGACCCTGCACCCGCGTGGGAGACCTGGAAGAGGCTCCTGGCTTCGGATTGGCATAGCATCGGCCGTTGCGCTCACTTGGGGAGTGAATCATTGGATGGAAGATCTTCCTCTCTGTCTCTCCTCTCTGTATGTCCGCCTTTCCAATAAAAATAAAATAAATCTTTACAATAAATAAATAAATAACCCTACTATCCAGGAAAAAAAAAAACCGCTGTTAGTTAAAGCATGCTGACACGGGTCATGCGCTGCCCTTCACCTCGAGGCCTCACACGGCGCTCAGCAGCTCTGGGCTGAGGCCTTCGTGCTGACCAAGCCTGAAGCCTGGGGCCGGCGGCTCAAGGCGGCTCCAGTTCACCTGCCAAGGACTTCCTGCCTCACGGGCAGGGCTTACAGCACTGCCAAGCTTTGCTGCTTTCAATTCCCTGCACTATTTTCATTAAAGACCAAATTCTGCCTTGCACCTCAGGCCTTTTCTAATTTCACCCTTTTGGATCAGCTTTTCCCCCTTTTGCTTTCAGCACACCACATGTCTCACTGTGGAAGCCAGAGTCCACTTGAAGGCTCTTGTCCCAGTAGCAGACGACATGGCTCCCACTGGCCTGGACGGAACCCTGCAGTCCCTGTGGCTGCGTGGCCCAGGCCACGGGGTCACCCCCCACTCCCTGTGCAGCCAGGCTGCCTCCGCCTGGGCATTTGCCCCCGCTGGCCCCGTTCTTGGCCTGTCTTTTCGCTGGACAGTTGTATAATTGCCTCCTCCCCCTGCAAGGCCCAGCATGCAGGCTGCTCCCCTCAGTATCCCCGAGATTTGTGTTGGCCACAATGACCACTCTCATTCACTGTGGTCCCCATAACTCTATGTAATTGTGTTCAAGAAGCCCGTTTTTGTCATTTTTCTGATGACATCATCCAAATGCAGCTAACAGGAGCCTCCGTCCAGTGGGCATCTCTCCCGGGCAGGTGTCCGTCCGGCTTTGAGCGTTCAATTCACGCAGGAAGCCAGGTCCACTGTGACCGTCCTGGCACACTCGTACCCTCCCCGTGCTCTGGCCAGTGCTGGCTCCGCTGGAGAAGGGGGACCGGGAAACAGAAGCCCGGCCCCTCTGGGCTGAAGCTGCCCACCGCCAGGGCGTCTCTGCTGCTAGGCCCCTTCTCAAGCAAAACTAGGAAACGACCTGCTTTTTTTTCAAATATACATTGATACCAGCACTTCCAATTTCTGCGCCCAGCCCCTGGGATCCTTCTCTTCTCCCCATGCCACACCTCAGGAGGCTCCTCCCGGAGAACCTTTGGTCCCCAGTGTGTACGTGTGCATGTTGGGTCTGCGCTGCAGTACCCGGAAGTGCTGCCAACACGTAGGACAGCACGGCTGCCTCGGCGCACCCAGACATCTCCCTAAAGATGGTCAGAGCTCAGGCCAGTCTTCTTCCTAAGTGGTTGTATTTGTGTGAAATATCCTTTCATTACTTAATACAAGCTCCTTGTTTAAATCAACAAAGGAAGAGAACTAAAACTGGATCCAGTTCCCCCCACCCTCAAGATCAGAGAATTGAGAACAAAGACCCCTGGGCAATGGCGTTAGCACAGGCACTCCCGTGGCCCGGGCCTCAGTCCCGGAGGTCGGTCAACAATACTGGTTCAGGCCCGACAGGGCCGGGGCAGGAGCTGCACCCACATGCCCACGTGGGTCACGGGGCCGCAGCACTTGGGCCATCCTCCAGGACCCTCCCAGGTGCGTTAGCGCAGAGCTGGCGTGCAAACAGCCCGGCTGAGACACAAACGGGCACTCCACACACAATACTGGCCATCCCAGGCGGCAGCCTAACCCACTGCACTTTGACACCAGCCCCTAGTTAAGCAAGTCTTAACGCTGAGCTCCTCCTCACTGAGACTGGACCTCTGGGTCATAAAGGGATAAAAAGCGGGTCACAGCAGTTCAGCCCACTTGTCTTGCAGAGCACCTGCGCAGCTCGGTGATCGATCGCAAAGACCTGATCATCAAGAGGGTCAAGCCCAAGCCGCAGCAAGGTGACGACATCACGGTGCTGGACGTGGAGAAGCAGATCGAGGCGTTCCGCGGCCGCCTGGTGCAGATGCTGGGGGAGCCCCTGGCGCCCCAGCTCCAGGACAAGGTCCACTTGTTGAAGCTCCTGCTCTTCTACGCTGCGGACTTGAACCCGGATGCCGAGCCGGCTTCCAAGAACTGGAGCAGCCCCTCGGGGCTTGCCAAGCACTGACCCCCAGGTACCTCCTGACCTCTAGCCGCAGGCTCCTGCAGCTCTAACGGCCTGGGGAGTAGTCCAAACTCTCCCGAGGCCACACTTCTCACTTGCCTGGAGGCTGAAAGAACTTTCTCTTCTTTGATATGTATCTTTTTATAATCCTGCCTGCAGCCTGTTCTCCAGTCTGGCTTCAATATACAAGGTGTATATATTTTTAAATAAATTATTTATCTATACTTTTTTATTTAAAGAAGTAATACTATATGCACGGTATGTTTTAATGCTGCCACTCAAGATGTGAGAAGAGACCCCCTTTGCCCAACAGACATGATATATATCAACGTTGCGTCATTCAAGGTCCTGCCGCCCACTTCTAGAAAAGAGCTATCTTTCCCCAGCAGAATGGACATTCTGCATCAGACCTGGTAAGCTGCCTGTGGAGCTGGCTCTGCGGCCCGTCGACAAGGAAGGGGGTTGGGGAGAGAAGGCTCCAGTGTGAAACAAAGCGTGTGATGTGGAAAGAGCACAATAAAAAGGCAGGCTTTTTCAAAATCCCAAGTTCCCCCGCAGAGGTTCTGTGAGGGTGGGCAGGCAGAGGGGGCGGCCGGACCAACGGGCCGGCACCCACATCTCACAGAGGAGGAAGGGCTTTTATTGTCAAAATGAGAGAGCTAACAGAAGCAACAAAGAAATGAACTGTCCTGGTGGTCGGAGCGCCAGGGTCTCTCCTACAGGACCGTGCGACGCCCCCAGTCAAGCAGCTGTCCGAGCGCACCGTGAGCGCTAACGCGTGTGGTGTTGGTGAGAAACGCTCGTTAGAGAATAAGTGACTCCTTCAGCGCTCTCACCCCCACAGGGTCGGGCCCTGACCTGCATCATGACATCAACACGAGGCCACACGCGTCCCGCCTGAGCCCGAGACAGATCGCCAAACTCCTGTTAACTGCAGGGCTGCCATCCGCTTCCCCCTTGGTTTTCCATCCGACTGGAGTTAGATTTATGTCGCTCTAAAGGGCAAGCAAAGATCCACAGGACTAGTGTTTGTTCTGAACGTCTACGCCAAGCGTGCCTCCAGCCGCACCAGCTCACCAGGCCTCGGGGCAGCGAGGAGACCCCTGTGTGTAGAAACTGCTAAACGTGGCCTCCAGTCGTACCAGCTGTGCAGGAGCCCAGGTCCCTCCTGGGCCCAGCAGGAGCCCAGCAACAGCAGCCCCGCTGGGCCCTGAGCGCCACCACGCTGTGACCGCCACGCTGTGACCAGTCAGGGCGCAGGCTGAGCCGAGCCTGGCGGCTGGAACAGCACGAACACCGTTACCCAGGGCACGATGGGCAGGCTCAGGCCTGGGGTCAGTGACACAAATCCAGGTTGAGGGGTGGCAGGGGGCTCCACGTGTGGCTGCCGAGACCAAGTAACCTCACAGCAGGACAAAACAGCCTCTTCCAGCCGGCAAGCACGGGCTTTGCTGGCGCTGCTCCAGAGCCGGCTGTCTCCAGCTCCAAGTAGGGGGATGTGTGGAGTGTGCCTTTCCTATGTCAGCTGAGGTCAGGGGGTGGGGTGCAGGAGGCCCCGCTCAGGAAGCTCTAGAAGCCGGTGGGGGTAAGCACGTTCAGCTCCCGGGGTTTGAGGTGATGTGTCCGCGGCAGAGGTGGCGCCTTCTTCCCCTGCGTCCCTGGGATGTCCATCGTGGGTGGCTTGAAGGTCGCGGGGTCTTCAGCCATCCGGGTGGCCTGAGCACGCATCACTTCCATGGGCGAGGGCTTCTGGGCTCCTCTGTAGGCCTGGACGGCAAAACTTCCTACACGAGTAAAGCAGGGAACACACGTGCCCAGGGTCAGCAGGTGACCCCCAGCGTGCAAGGACAGCATGCCGTGGTGCCTGCCAGGGCGGGGGTCTGTTTGGGTCTAAAGGGACTGCCTCACCGGAATCAGACTTCTGGAGGGGTCTCGGCCCGAAGAGGCTCCACTTCTCGGCTGAGCTCCTGTCCTTGTCCCCAGCGCCAGGATCCATGGTGCTAAGATTTGAGCCAGGTAAGGCTGTGGAGGAGCCGGAAGCAAACCAGCCTCTGAAAGAATAAAACACAATGCTCACACATCGTCCTCACACACGTCAGGCCGCAGCAGCAAGCCCTGCCTGTGAGCTGCCCTTGTCCCTGGGGAGCACCGGCTGGCAGAGGCCGGGCCAGAGCTCACCTGGGCCCCTGCTTCGGGGAGGGGAGGGGGCTGTTGCTCGGGCTGGACGGGACCGACGCAGGCTGCCTCTCTGCCTTGATGGTCTCTCCACTCTGCAGCTTCAGCTTCTGGCCAGGCGGGTAAGAGGAGAGTAGTTTAGATGGGCGTAAACGCACAGTGGCCCCCACAGAGCCAAATCCAGGCATAAACAAGCTGGTTCATACCCTAACTTGAAGCGCAAGGGATTACATAAAGAATATTCATTCAGTTCACCACACTGGATGTAGCTGTATCTTTCTGAAATTGAGGATTCATTCTGCTCCATCCCAAACCTGCCCTGAGCTACAAACTCTATGCCAGGGCTTTGGCCTGCAACAAAATGAAGTCATTTCCCACAGCCACCCTGCCAGGAAGTGGAAGAGCCAGCTCTCCAGCTGGCCCCCTTGACCGATCAGCAGGGCCCAGAGCTGTCTCGGCGTCCACGCCTGCGTCCGAGCCACGCTGTGCGCAGCCTCTGCGAGCCAGGCCCCCGGCCAGCCACACGCTCCCTTCCTCCAAACGGCTGTCCTCCCCAGCCATGTCCCTCCCCAGACTACCAGTCTAACAGGGAGAGACACACGTACCCCACTGCAGGAGCAGGGCCCCACAGCAAACGTGACCCTCCATGTCTTAGTGGGGTCCTGCTTGTCCAAGCTGCAGCCCTGACCACTGCTCTCACTGCCCCCACTCCACAGAGCCAGCCGTGTCAGCCAGTGATGCCTTACAAATGAAGCTAACTTCCGGCACTTGTGCCCACCCTGTGACCCACTCCTGTGGCCAAGAGGCAGGACATGGGCGACCCCATCAGTGCCTCCATCTGATAAGGCAAACTGCTCAACTGCAAATCAGCCATCAGACACTGGCTGTGCCGCTCTCTGTCCGCAGTGGCCCCGGCCCACCCGACCCCCCTAACAGCGCTGTTTAAAGTCAGTCTATAATAGAGCCAGCTCCAAACTGCCAACAGTGGGCAAGGTTTTGTAGGTCCTCACCCAGGGCAGCCCCGCTCTCCTCAGCACACCTCAGAACCCTTAGCCGGGGACAGGATGGGAAGAGCCCCGCCCTGGCCTGTGGCAGGCAGTCCCAGCTTCTGAGCTATCCCTGTGCCCCTTCACAGTCAGCCTCACCCTTGTAATCAAGAGCCAGATGCACGGAAGGAAAAAACCCAGCAGCAAATGGGACACCTGTTGAGGTGTGGTACCAACACTGGCTGGCATATGACCCGGGGCCTCACTCTCCATTGACGAAACACAGCGAGCAGGGTCTACGTGAAGATTCAACGGATGCAAGCCACAGGGCACTCCCCAGCAAAAAGCGGTCTTCAAAAGTCATCTGAAACTTCTGTTCACTCAAATATCTCATTATCAATTAAATCCTCGTCACATTCTTTGAATTTTTAGAAATGAGAGCAAAATCATTCCAATTTCACATTTAAATTGTGAAAAACCTGAATACGGAACAAGACGCAGCTTCCCCACTAACAGGTCCGCTGGTGAGACTCCCTGCGGCTCCTCTCCAAGCCCAGCCCCAAGTCACAGACCACAGCCTTGTCATGTCCACCAAGCGCCCACACATCCCACACCCGAGAGCTGACAGCGCCTCGGTCCTCCTCGCCAGTGCAGGCAAAGGACGGCCCCTGGTCCACGAGCAGACCTAGGCAGACACTAGGAGGCTAAGGAAATGCCAGCATGGAGAGGGCTCCCCCGGTTCTAGGTTCTCCTGCCAGTGCTCTCCAAAGCAGCAGCCAGCTGAGCTGGGGCAGGTGTTGTCTTCTGAGCATGCCTGGGGGGCGGCAAGCTTACCTGGAGTGCTTCCGCCACGCGCAGGTGCTTGTTCTCCTCGGTGGTGAGGCCTTTGTGCGGCGTGTAGCCGGCATCCCGCAGCCCTGCCTGCTGCTCGAAGCGCTCAATGCTTTCCTGGGTCTGCTCTGGAGACAAAGATGACTGAGGGTCAAGCCCACCCCCAGGGCAGATCTCCCAGGAAGTGAGAGCACACCGGCCACCCTGGAGACGGGCACTGCCAGGAACACTGCCCAACCTCGCGCAGTGGCCCTCAGGGCAGCTGCAAGCTGGCGCCACATCACACAGGGGCGCAGCCTGCGCCTGGCCAGGCAGCTCAGGAGTGCCAGGCAAACACTGCTGAGCCCCCGCTTGTTGGCACCCTGGAACATCTTCTCTGGATTTAGGAAAGCAAGGTGGACAAAGCAGCTGACACTGAGATGCTGGGAAACTCCCCCAGATACCAAGTTTTCTAAGATTCCCTACCCTCACCACCCACACAGCACCACGAATCCAATCCCATTTAAACCAGACTCCGCCATGAGCCGGCCCAAGTCCACGGACAGTGTGTCTCACGTGTGGAAAGGCTCGTACAGCGCTTGCCCACTGCACGTGGCCCGCCCGTCGGGGCGGACTCCCTCGTCATTCCCAGCGAGGGAGCGGCACTGACTGTGTACAGAGATGGCGGGAATGCAGCAGCTGGGAGCCCAGAGTCCACAGCCCGAATGCCCGGGGGCTGGGGAGGCCCCTTCTGAGGTGCTGCACCAGAAGCAGAGAAAACAAGGGCAGCAAGGCACGCCTGCTCTCGGGACTGACCTTGTGGCAGAGCAGGCTAAGCTTACGTCAGCGGCACTGGCATCCCATAAGGGCACTACTGATTCGTGCCCTGGATGCCCCACTTCCCATCCAGCTCCCTGCCTGTGGCCTGGGAAAGCAGTGGAAGACAGCCCAAAGCCTTGGGACCCTGTACTCATGTGGGAGACCCAGAGGAGGCTCTTGGCTCCTAAGTTCAAATCAGCTCAGCTCTGGCCACGCAGCCATCTGGAAAGTGAACCAGTGGATGGAAGATCTCTCTGTCTCGCCTTCTCTCTGAAAGTCTGCCTTTCAAATAAAACTAAAACCTTTAAAAAAACAAAAAAGCTGTCTTTGCTTACCAGCTAGTCACCTGACCTACAAACTGAAAAGGGATTGAGTGAATCTGTACCAGTGCCAGAATTGTACGTGCGGCTAGTTTTTGTAATGAAAAAATTATAGCAACATTCATGGTAGGATTAGCTGGAAACGCCAGACTGGCCTGTCTCGTATCTACAACATAAAAACACGTGTGTAAGTGAACGTGATTGGGTCAGCCAAGGGCCCAGTGCCTGTAGCACATCCGGGTATCGAACCGTCTGCCTGGTGCACCCGTGTTCTCGATGCAGAAATGGCGCTGTGCCCCAGGAAGAGCTCAGCTCTGACACTACAGACACTTGCCAAATCAACCAGCAAGCACTGATCCACCTGGTGCACTGCAGCATGAGAAAGAGGAAACCAAGGTATGGAGCGGGGATTACTGTTATTGGGAAAATTCTCCAGAAAACCGGAAGCTATCCTGGGGAAGATAAGCAAGGGCTTTGACTCTGAAAGCCCGCCAGCCCTGGAGAATGTCTGCAGCCCTTTTACACCGCCCTGCCCTGGTCCAGACAGCCTGCTGCTGAGCAGAGCTCACTGCTGGTCATCGTTAACTTCCCCAGCAACCAGAAAGGCCAGGTCACGCCTTACCAGGTTCAAAACAAAACAAACCCAGGAACTCTCCCTGCATTAGGCCCACACCCAAGGCACACACCAAACCTGGCCCTTCTCCTGATGGACCAAAGTTGAGCTGTTTAATTGAAAACCAGATCAGAAACCTGGGGCAGGTGGGGCACCTCAGTGGGCTGACTGGGCAGGGGCGGCAGCAGCTCCCGGCTCTCTAACCCTGACCACCTGCTGGCCCGGTGCCCCGCTCTATAAAGGGACAACAGTCTGCAGAGTTCAGTGACTTGCTCACAAGTGACAGGAAACCGAGACGAGGGCCCCCAAAGTAGCGGGTACACCCAACCCAACTGAGCTGCTTCACGTTCCACAAATTGGCCGTCTCCAAAGAGCATCAAGCTGGGAGTTGGAGAGGGCAGCCAGCTTCCCTTCACGCTTACTTGTGATCAGGGAACTCAGGATGACATGGGTGGCCTTGGCCTTCACCACTGGCGCCTTGTCCACACTCTCCACGGACGCCGACAGAGCCACGGCAGGGGTTGACGCACGGGCCTCTCCTTCCTCCACCTGGTTCAACAGAGGGCAGGGAAGCACACAGCTTGGGGAAGAAGGGCAGGGCATTATCTGGCACATGGCAACTCTCTGAAGAAAGCAGTGGCCATCTCCAGCACCCACAGAGACCACAGAGGGGGGCATCACATGACTGACTAGCTTCAGTTTATCAAGCGGGCAAGCTGGAATCCAAAGCTCTAAGGCTACTCCGACCCAGCCTGGGCCCAGGCCACACGGCACCCAGCAGAGCACTTGCTCAGAGGCCCTGCAACCTGGTGACTGAGAAAATCCCCCGAGAGCTTGCGAAAGACACTGCTGAGCTTCTTACACAGAACGCGCCGGCTGCTGCGGCAAGACGCAAGAATTCACGTTCCTAGCGAGTGCTCTGGTGCCAGCGCTGATCCCCACACACATTAAGAACTGCTGCTCTCGGGCCCGGCGGCGTGGCCTAGCGGCTAAAGTCCTCGCCTTGAACATGCCAGGATCCCGCATGGGCGCAGGTTCTAATCCCAGCAGCTCCACTTCCCATCCAGCTCCCTACTTGTGGCCTGGGAAAGCAGTCGAGGACAGCCCAAAGCCTTGGGACTGTGCACCCACATGGGAGACCCGGAGGAGGTTCCTGGATCCTGGCTTCAGATCGGCATAGCATCGGCCATTGCGCTCACTTGGGGAGTGAATCATCAGACGGAAGATCTTCCTCTGTCTCTCCTCCTCTCTGTACATCTGACTTTCCAATAAATAAATAAATCTTTAAAAAAAAGAACCGCTGCTCTCAAGGCTCAGGCAATGGCCCCTCATCTAAACACCTGAGCTCATGCAGAGGCCCTCTCCCAGCAGAGAGAACAACTCGGATCATTCCACGTTCTCTGCTATTCCAAAGGGTCTGAAGAGAACTATGGTCACAAAGGAGGAGGCCAGGGGACTGGGGTGCCACCCCCGCTAGCCAGCAGCAGCTCCGCGTCCCAGCTGTGATCTCACTCGAGTGGAACAGGAACCCACGTTTCCTTGCCCAAAATTGGCTGACGCGGCCCAGCACGTGGACAGTCTGGGCGAATGAAAGAACGCACGTCTAGGATCCAGTGCAGCGCTCCCTTCTCAGAGCTGTTCTGAGCCGTCAGCTGCTGCGGCTGGGCCACCAAGGAAACCTGGACACCCAGCCTCTGCCCGGGTAGCAGCCAGCCGTCCTCATGACCAAAGAGGGAGGAGCCCTAGAAGCCCCACTAACCTTCTCCTCGGGCCCCTGGAGGGCTCAGCCTTTGCCATCACAGGCCTGAGTCCCAGTGTTTCCACGAACTGGTTTTTCTGACAACTGACAGGGTCAGACTCCAACAGAAAACCGACAGAGGGCCTTGCCTGCAGAGCTATCGGGCAACGTGAGAAGGGGGCTGGGAGAGGCAGGGGGAAACTCACGACAAAGAATTATAAATAATGCATGGCCCTACTCAGCCAGGGTCCACTGGGAGCCAGGGCCGGGGCCTCAGCCTGAGCCAATGCGTGGGGGGCCAAGCTTCTGGGTCTTCCTTCACCAGCGCCCCACTGGCACTGCCCAGATGTCAGCAGAGTGCCCATACCCTGGGACAAGGGGAAAGCTGTGTGTCCAAGGTCACAGTCCACAGACCTTCTGTGACCCTTCTGCCATCCATCTCCTGTGAGACCCTGAGCTATCACACAGAGCAAAGTGGGGTGAAACTGCAGGTGCAGGTGAAATGGCTTAACCAGAAAAGGGGGCAGGATTAGCTTGTTCAGGCAACAGTATGACAGTATAACAGCCTTTCTTGAAGGTTCAAGTGGTGGGACGGTCAGAAATGACAGTCCCTGGAGGACTGGAGGAGCCACGAGCGTCAGGCAGCTGAGAGCGGACTGCAGTGTGTGGCAGACAGCGCCTACGGAGGACAGCCATGGGAAACGGCCTTGCGGGCAGGCGGGATGGCATGTGCTCAAGAAGCAGCCAACTTATCTGACAGTCACAAAACGACACTGAGGGCCCAGCGCAGTGGCCCAGCGGCTAAAGTTCTCGCCTTGAACAAGCCAGGATCCCATATGGGCGCCAGCTCTGATCCCAGCTGCTCCACTTCCCATCCAGCTCCCTGCTTGTGGCCTGGGAAAGCAGTCGAGGACGGCCCAAAGCCTTGGGACCCTACACCAGCATGGGAGACCTGGAGGAAGCTCCGGGTTCCTGGCTTTGGATTGGCACAGCAGCGGCCATTGTGGCCACTTGGGGAGTGAATTATCGGACGGAAGATCTTCCTCTCTGTCTCTCCTCTTCTCTGTGTATCTGACTTTCCAATAGAAATAATTTTTAAAAATTAATCTTTAAAAAAAACAAGATGACACTGAGCAGGCCCTCAGTGATACTACGGAGTACGCACACACAAGGCCCCAGCCATCAAGATCCCTTCCCTTGGAGTGGCGAGACTGGTAGCAATCCATGAATGGTGAACTATTGAAACCACCTGAGCGAGTATCTCAGAGCATGCCCCATATCCGGGACTTAGGGTGGGTGGGAAACTGGGTGGGGCTTCTCCCTCTATATCCCCCTTTACCTCAGATACATGAAGGAAGCAGTATGGAAATGATGGTCTTACCCACTTCCCTGCAGCCCTTGAACACCCTAATTAACTATGTAAAGATTGTCAAAATATAATAAAAACATATATTAGAGAAAAAAAGATCCCAACTCCAGGCACTGCAGTGAGGTACCAGTTATGATAAGGTGCACGGTCCACTGGCACTCAAGAGGGAGGATGGAGAGTCAGGCAAGCCTTCACACCAGGGGGGTCTGAACAAAACACAGGACGCCCCAGGTGGGCAAACGCAGCAGCAGGAGGGGCTGTGAGGGCAGGATGAGGAGAGCATGCAGGCCAAGCCCCTGGAGCTGTGTCAGCTGCTGTGCTGAGTACAAGAAAGCCTGGCAACCCGCATGGCTGGATCCCTGTGGAGGCAGTGGCAGAGAGAGCCCAGCCCGGAACTGGGACTTCACCCCGTGGCATACGGGAGCGGGGTGGGGACAGCACAGTCCTGGGTGGGAAATGACACAGCTGCTGTACTTGTGAATAAAAAAGATAAACCAGCTGTAACAGAGGCCCAGAAACACACCCAGGAGTGGCTGCCACCCAAAGCTGTGGGGTCAGCCAGCCCGAGGGGCAGGCGGGACAGAGGCGCCCAGCAGGGTTGGATACCTTGGCGAGGTGCTGATACTTGCGCTCTGGAATGACGGGCTTCCAGGGGATGCTGCCCATGTCCGATGGAGGAGGAGTCATGGGCGAGGGGTCCTCGAGGGCATCGTCGTAGCTGAATGCCCGGCGGTACATCCCGATGGGCAGGGACATCTTGCCTAGAGGCCCGCTGGGCTCCAGGGCTAAAGACAGAAACACGTGTCAGGTCGGGTTTGGTGAGTTACCACGTGGACGGGAAGCTCGGGCACATGAGCCAGAACAGCCTGGCCACGCAGGGGGGCAGCAAGACTGAGCCTTCCTCCACTCTCACCCCTTCTGGAGTAGGAAACCCCAAATTCAAGCAAGGGCACAGAGGGTCTGCAAGCAGAGCCTAAAGCCGTCTGCCTGCAGGCCGTGCTGCGTGTCCAGGGACACCCTCACACAGGGCTCTCCCTTCCCACCAGCTACAGCAGGGAACACCCACAGCCTGGAAGGGAAGGAACACCCCACGGTTATGCCACAATGGCCTGAGGTCTCACTGCCAACTCCTCAACCTCCCCATGCCCCCTGAGAACTGTTTCAGTCCGCTGTGCAGCATCTCAGCCTTCCGTAGGATTTGGAAACCAACACCAATCCCCAGTATTAAAGACAACCAGTCTCACCAACCAGGACCCACCGGGACCAACTCCAGGAAGGGCCTTTGGCGATGCCAGGTCTCTAAGGGCGTGCTCAGCTGGGCCAAATCAGGGAACAAGGCTCATGTTGTTTGCTAATCCTTTTATATCGGAACTACCGTCCAGAGTCCGTCAGCCAAGGTGGCATTTTCCCACTGTGTCAGTTACGTAAGGGCTCGCCAGGAACCAGCCTGCCTGGCAGTGAGTCCCGAACCAGCAGCACTTGAGTTCCGAGTGAGGCCACCAGGCAGATCCCACACACACTATCACTCTTCACGATCACTAATAAGCCCACAGGAAGGGGATGACAGGCTGCCAGGCGCCCACGGAGCACAGCCGTGGGAAACGGCCAGGCTTGTGCAGGAGCTGGGGGGGGGATCCAACGAGCCTGCTAACAGGCTTTCTTTCTGGAATGATGAAAAGATTCCCCAATCAGATTCGTGGTGACGGTTGCACAATCATGTGAATGTACTACAAACTCCAAAACTGTTCACTTTAAATGAGCAAGCGTTCTGGGATCTGCGTTGTGCCGCCATTAAAACACACACACACACACACACAACACTAAGTACTTTCATTGCTATGTGCTCACGTCCCTCCTGTAACTCTCCTTACACAGTCGTTCTTCCCATTTTCCAGCTTGGGAAACAAAGGCAGAAGTGACTTCCCTGGTGTCACCCTGCCAGCAGGTTTAGGTGAGAAATGGAGAGAGATCTCACACCGCCTGCAGCACCCAGGCTAGGTGACACCGTTCGGTGGCCACCTAGCAAGCACGGCCCTCCAGCCCAGAGGGGACAGGGAGTCTGGCAATCGCAGCAACAATGAGAGACGCACATCCAAGCTGACGATGTCACACAGAACACGGGCGATCGACACGGGGGACGCAAGACAGACTTTTATCCTAATCTGGCAGCAACTTCAGCACCTTAGAGTCCTCACAGCCATCCCGACAGCCTTTCTAGAAACAATCATCAGATCATCGAGGGCCGGGCATTGCGGCATGGTGGGTCAAGCTATGCCGACAACACTACATCCCTTAGGAGCACCAGTTCGAGCGCCGGCTGTTCCACTTCTGATCCAGTTCCCTGCTAATGCATTTGGAGAAGCAGCATAAGATATGAAGATATCCTAAGTCCTTGGAGTCCTGTCACCCACACGGGAGACCCAGACGCAGTTCCAGGCTCCCAGTTCTCATCAGCCTGGCCTAGCTGTAGGCACTGTAGCCACTTGGGGAGTGAACCAGCGCAAGGAGGATGTTTTCCTGTCTCTCCCTCCCTCTCTCTGTAAAGTGGTCATTCAAATTTTTGTTTAACAAAATAAACCTGGGGCAGGCACAGTGGTGCATCAGGCTAATACTCAGCCTTGCCTTGCAGCATCCTAATTTGGGAGCCAGTTTGTGCCCCAGCTGCTCCACTTCCCATCCAGCTTCCTATTTACAGCCTGGGAAAGCAGTGGAGGACGGACCAAGTGGTTGGGACCCTGCAGCCATGTGGGAGACCAAGGAGAAGCTCCTGACTCCTGGCTTTGGATCATCTCAGTTCCAGCCATTGTGGCCATTTGGAGAGTAAATCAGTGGAAGAAAGACACTTCTCTCTCTCTCCCTCTCTCCTCTAAGATTTAAAAAAAATATATATTTTCAAACAAAAATTTGCAAAAAAAATATATATATATTAAAAAGTCATCCAACAGCCTGGCGTGGCAGCCTAGTGGCTCAAGTCCTCACTGTGCATACACCAGGATCCCATATGGGCGCCGACTCATATCCCAGCCAGCTCCACTTCCCATCCAGCTCTCTGCTTGTGGTCTGGGAAAGCAGTCAAGGACGACCCAAAGCCTTGGAACCCTGCACCTGTGTGGGAGACTCAGAGGAGGTTCCAGGCTCCTGGCTTTAGATAGGCTGAGCTCCCGCTGTTGTGGCCACTTGGGGAGTGAACCAGCGGATGTAAGATCTTTCTGTCTCTCCTTCTCTCTGTAAATCTGCCTTTCCAATTAAAAAAAAGATTAAAATAGATCTTTTTTAAAAATTAAGTCAACCAATATTTACAAGAAAATACAAAAAGAGACCAACCAATTTTCAGGGGGAAGGGGGCTTGGCGCAGTGGTTTAAGTGCCCTGACAGGAGGCAGCCATGGCTGCAGCAGCTGGTCCCTGCGGCCCACGGCAGAGAGCCAGGTTGTGCGCTCCTGACCCCAGCCTGACCCAGCCCTGCCCAGCCCTGCCCAGCCCTGTCCACTCTGGGCATCTGGGGAGTGAACCAGCTGCACAGGCAAGCCAGTCCCTCTGCCTTCCAACAAACACATGAAGATTCACCACTTTCAACTCATGTTTAAAAAAAAAATGTCATTTAATCTTCGCAATAACCGTAAGAAACAAGAAATGTCATCTACAGTAAGGCTCAGAAATGAACAAATGATTCCAATTTAAGTTAAAAGCCTCCCTTCCCGGAGAACAGTGCCCAGAGGAACCCATGACTTCAGGAGCGCAGAGTCACTGTCCCAAACAGACCCACTCAGTGCAGCCAGGTGCCATTTCATGACCCACTTCCAGTGTCCCTGTCCCCTACCCAAGAGTGTGAGTTTCATGGCTTGGGTAACAAACCCACCTGACCCTAAAGTGAGACAGCTGCTCCTTCTGAAGCCAGACTGAGGGCTCCCAGCACAACTGGGTGGATGTTAACACTGCCTTTGCACAAAGCCTGTCCCCTCACACCTAACCATGCACCCAGCAGCAGCGAGTGGCCACGAGCACGGATCCATTAACACATGGCTCCCGTGAAATACCATCCATCTCAGCTGAAAACACTCAGGGCCAAAAAAAAAAAAAAAAAAGTGACTTTAGCAAAAAGAATGTAAGTTTACCGGGCATGTCTGGGTGTCGTGAAGCCATCGTAAAGACGGGTCCAGATGCTTCCTCTTTCTAGGGTTCCAAAAGGCCCTGCCCCTAGTGGAAATGACAAAGGACATTTGTGACAATGGACACCGGTGGACAGCTCTGGCGCTGCCCTACTGATGGGCACAGGGAGTGTGGGGAGTGGGAGGCTTGGTGGCAGGTGGGAACACACACACACACACACACACACACCAGCCAGCAGGTGGCTCCCGGCCCATGGGACTGGCACACCGAGTGGGACAGCTTGCTGACCAAGCAGAAACACACACACACACCAGCCAGTGGGCGGCTCAAAGGTCCCATCACCCAGGGGCAGGATCTCAGCACCCACGAGATGACAAGCCGAGACACCACACCTGGTGAAAAAGCCATCTTACCACAGTGAAATGACGAGGCGACACTACGGGGACAGACAGATGTTAACGAGGAGCATGGTCCAGCCTTGTGCAGGGACTTCCCAGGGATCCATGCAGAGGGTCTAGGTGAGGACAAAGAGCCAGTGTGGGCACACGCACACACACACACACACACACACACACACACACACACACACACACACACCATCATTCATGCTCCACCACAACCCTTGCGAAAGGCACTGCTTCCGGATCACACAGCAAGGGACTAGCACCCCGGGGATCCAAGCTCATTCTTAACATTCGCAGAGCATTCCCTTTGGGGCTACACTGCCCTTGGCCCTGTGAGGCCCTCCCTGAGGAGCAGCTGCACAGGGAGCACTCCCGACCCAGACACATCCCTCAGCCCGGCCCTCCAAAGGCTGGTCCTCGCCCAGCTGCCTCTGCCGCCGTCCGAGTGGAGACAAGCAGACCCCGGAAGCCAGAGCTGGCAGGGAGCAGGCTGGAGTGATGAGGGGCGAGGAACTGGGCAGTGGGTGAGACCAGGGAGGCCCTGGACCCCGGGGGGACAAGGGGCACTCAGCCAGCATGACCCCAGCCTCGGGTGGGCAACGCAGACACCGAGGCCAGACCTCCGAGCCGGAGACAAGAGGTGCCCTCAGCACCGACAGTGCCCCCCGACACACACACACACACACCCTCTCCCGTGATGAGCAGTGGACGCTGTCCGGGACAAAGGTGCCTCAGCACCGACACACACACACACCCTCCCCCGTGATGGGCAGTGGACGCTGCCCAGGACAAGGGGTGCCCTCAGCACCGACAGTGCCCCCCAACACACACACACACACACACACACACACACACACACACCCTCCTCCATGATGGGCAGCAGACGCTGCCCGGGACAAGGGGTGCCCTCAGCACCGACACACACACACCCTTCCCCGTGACGGGCAGTGGACGCTGCCCGGGAGGGCCCAGGGCCCCCGTAGGGTCACCTGCTCTCCCGCCTGCGGCCCGAACTCCGGCACTAGAGAGGTTCCAAGGACGCAGGTATCCGGAGAGACCGTAGTCTAGTCCAGCCCCGAGCCATGGTGAAGGCGCCCGCACCCACAGACGTTCCCAGCACCGAACCGGGAACTCAGCAGCCGCGTCGCCCGCAGCCTGGGTGATAAACCCTACCGGGAACCACGGCACTTCGCGCGAGACTTGGTCCGCGGCGGTGTTTGGGGCATGCCGGGAGTTGTAGTCTCTATAATCCGGGGCTTTCAGGCCTTTGGAGAGAGGTCAGCAGGAAATGTCCCCAAAATCGGCTGCTGGGGCACCGGTCTCCCCAAGTTAGAGTCCCTTCACGCTAGGGAAAATGGGGCGTGGAGAGGTACCAGCTCAGGCTTTTCATCCTAAAGGACTTTCTTTTTTTCTGAAGGGTTAACAAATGGAACAAAGCAACAGATTTAAGGAAGTGGAAGAGATTGGGGACAGAACAGACCCCAGTTCCGGAGCGCACGTCGTCTGCGGAGGACTGTAGGTATGGGGACTGGGTGCCACACTGAGATGTCAGCATTAAGGCCCCGGAGGCTTTCCTCATCACAATGAACTTGAGTGCCAGTGCACCACACAGCAAGGTCTTTCATAGATTCTGTAATTGGCTTATCAATAGCCAGTGGTTTTGGATGAGTTTTTTTGTTTGTTTTGTTTTGGATGATGTGGCTTTACTCAAAACCTTTCAAGTCTGCCACCTCTCTGTAAGCAAAGCTGACATCTTGTCCCTGCCCTAATCCCACTAGGGCTGCACAGCACCTGTCTCCGTCCCCAAAGCAGCACTCTGTACCCCATGAAAGTCACAATGCAAGGACACCTCGCTTGCTCCTCGGCCACAGACACGTGAAAACTGAAGCCTCTCCTAGAAGCCGTCGCCTCTTGCCACGGCAGCTGTGCCCCTGCTTTTCATGGCACCAGTGTATAAATGGCATTGGTGGGCAGCCACTGCTTGCCGTCTCTCTCTCACACACCAGGCTGAAGCTTGGCATGGAGTGACCAGAATGGGAATCCCAGGCCAGCACGCTGACACCAGGCTGTGACTGGGAGCCCCATACCCAGGACCGGAGCAGTCACAGCAACTTCCCACACAGTCCGGGTTCCTGAGAACCCTGATACCCTGGACCCCAAGCAGTCACAGCAACTTTCCACATGGCCCGGGTTCCTGGGAGCCCTGATACCCGGACCCGAGCAGTCACAGTGACTTCCCACATGGCCCGGGTTCCTGGGAGCCCTGATACCCGGACCAGAGCAGTCACAGCGACTTCCCACACGGCCCGGGTTCCTGGGAGCCCCGATACCCTGGACCCCAAGCAGTCACAGCAACTTCCCACACGGGAAGATCCCTGGAAGCCACAGAGCACACCCCCACCTCCACTACCCCTTTCGCTGTGCTTTTCTGCTTTATTCAGTATAGGTTCTCAGTTCTGTATACAACGGCTCTATTTCCCCAAGAGGGACAACGTCATTGGCAAGGTGGGGGAGGTCCTGGCAGCTTTATATGGCTTTGTTGTGGCAGACAACAGCGGCAGGTCGCTGGGTGTGGCCAGCCAGGGAATCTGTCCTCTGCAATGTACATACCGATGTTTCATAAAAACGACTGGCAGCTGTTGCTAGGGTTCATACTCCTGTACTGGGCACTCCCAGGCCAGGCCCAGAATAGAGTACTCACTGCTTTGGCACCACTGCCAAAGGAGCCCTGGCAGGTGCACCTGTTGGAAGCCAGCTTGCGTCAAGAGATATGGGAATCGGAGTGGATCTCCGGCAGGTGGGGCACGGTGAGGGATCTTTAGGTCACTGTGGGACTGAGTTAGATCTGCAGTGAGACCTTGCTGGTTGTCTGAGGCTGGTCCCACCCAAGTTACCGCCAGATCCCTGGTACCCAGTGAATGCTTGCAGCACGTGCCCTTACTGCCGCTTTCTACAGTGAATTGGCATGGCGAGGGGTTCCTTGGCAGAGCCTGCACTAAGCGACACAAATGCCAACTCAGCAGACCTCTACTTTCTAAAGCAAGTTAGTGTGTGGGGAACGTTTCGTGAGGGTGAGAAAAAGCTGGCTAAACACTCAGGCGCAAGTGGCAAGTCAGCAAATTGCAGCTAAATTAATATCTGACCTCCTGAAAAACCCAAAGGGAACGAGAAGAACGACATTTCCGCCAGGAGGCCTGGTCGTGCAGTTTCCTCTGCACACACACCAGGAGAACCTGCTTAATCCGATGGGAGCACATCCACCCTCTTTCCACTTCATTTCCGTATTCTTCCCTTGCAAGGACAGTGACTGAATAACCACCTGCCTTTTTTTTTTTTTTCCTTCTTCCAACATGTATTGATTGTAGCTTTAAAAAGCAGCCAGAGCGACAGAGACAGGAACATGGGGAGAGAGAGAATCTTCCATCTGCTGGCTCACTCTCCAAGCGATCGTTAACAGCAAGGACTGCATCAGAAGTTTGGAACGCCACCCAGGTCTACCCATGAGTGGTAAGGGTGCAAGGACTTGGGCCATTTTCCTCTGTTTTCCCAAATGCATGAACAGGGGTCTGGCTCGGAGGCAGAGCAGCTCCAACTTGAAATGATGCCCGTGTGGGAATGCTGTGTGGCACGGGGTGGTTTCATTTGCTGCACCAAAACACCAGCCCCAAATTTGGTCTTTATTGTTTGTTTGCTTGTCTGATTTTTTTTAAATATTAATTTTATTTTTATTGCAAAGTCAGATATGAAGAGAGGAAGAGAGACAGAGAGGGAGATCTTACGCTCAATTGTTCACTCCCCAAGTGGCTGTAACAGCTGGAGCTGCAACGACCCGAAGCCAGGAGCCAGGAGCTTCTTCCGGGTCTCCCACGTAGGTGGCTCCCACGCAGGTACAGAGTCCCAAGGTTTTGGGTCATCTTTGACTGCTTTCCTAGGCCACAAGCAGAAGCTGGATGGGAAGCTGGGTTACTGAGATTAGAACTGGCACCCACATGGGATCCCGGCAAGTTCAAGGTGAGGACTTTAGCCACTAGGCAACGCCCCCGGACCCAATTAAGTCTTTTTAAAACACTATTTGAATTTGTGCCCAGCGGCGTGGCCTAGCAGCTAAAGTTCTCTCCTTGAATACTGGGATCCCATATGGGCATCAGTTCTAATCCCGGCAGCCCCACTTCCCATCCAGCTCCCTGCTTGTGGCCTGGGAAAGCAGTCGAAGACGGCCCAAAGCCTTGAGACCCTGCACCTGCGTGGGAGACCTGGAGGAAGTTCCTGGCTCCTGGCTTCGGACTGGCACAGCACCGGCCATGTGGTCACTTGGGGAGTGAATCAGTGGATGGAAGATCTTCCTCTCTGTCTTTGCAATAAAACTAAAATAAAACTCTTTTAGAAATTACCTGTATTTGAAAAGCAGAATTACAGGGAAAAGAGGAGGCAGAGAGAGAATGATCTCTCATCTGCTGGTTCACTCCTCCAATGGCTGCAGTGGTCGGAGCTGTACCAACCCAAAGCCAGGAGCCAGCAGCCTCTTGCAGGCCCCCCATGTGGGTGCTGTAAGGATTAATTGTAAAGGGGACTGTACTCCTGAAGTCTGGAATCTCCAAAGAGACACCTGCATCCTGTTAGGAGCAAAGCTCCTGTTTCCTGAAAGACCAGGAGGCAGGCAAGAGACAGGGATAATCTTGGAGTTTCAGGATTTGCGGGAAAGACAGCCACCTTCGAGGCATGCTGTTTTATTACTGTCTGCATCGAAGTGATAGGATCAGGATTCCCAAGCTTATACACTGTAAATTCCTGTCGCATACTTTCTGTTTTGTGTCACTGCTAGCCCCTAATCATGTACTTGTTCACTGTCACATAGCTTTTTGATTCTTTTACTATAAAAACCCCACGATGATTTCATTCGGGTCGCTTCTTGCTTATGGCAAGAGGTCGCCCCTTGGACTAGACGATAAAATCATCTCACTCGCCTTGGAGACTCGCTCGGATTCACTGAACCCCGACAGGTGCAGGGTCCCAAGGCCTTGGGCCGTCCTCGGCTGCTTTCCCAGGCCACAGGCAGGGAGCGGAATGGGAAGTGCAGCAGCTGGGACATGACCTGGCGGATTAATTTACTGAGCCATCATGCCTCCTGGTTCCTGACTGCGGATCGGCACAGCACCGGCCGTTGCGCTCATTTGGGGAGTGAATCATCTGATGGAAGATCTTCCTCTCTGTCTCTCCTCCTCTCTTCATATCTGACTTTGCAATAAAATAAAATAAATCTTAAAAAAAAAAAAAGAGGGTTGAAAGCAAGTTCCCACAAAACAACCATACACAATGCCTCCCTCTAGTGGTGACAGGGATGGATTTCACTGGAGAGACTTCCCTATGAGTGAAGGCTTCAGAAAGCATATCGGCCTTTCCCGCCACACAGCCGGCCCGGGGCTTGATGGGGAAAGAACGCTCTTGTGCCTTTGTGTCGGCCCTGTACTTGGGACTAGGTTCCACAAGTGATAAACAGAATTATGTACTTCCAAAAGTGAGTACTAACCTAGTCAAGAGTGAATGCTCCCAACACTGAAAATGATCAATGTCTAATGTGACGGATGTATCGATTACCCTGATTGGATCATTGCATGTGCCATACATGGGTGACATTTCACATTGTTTCCCCCAAAAAACAACAGTTATTATGTGTCTGTTCAAAGGCGTGTGTTTGTTTGTTTTAATTAAAAAGAAGAGGAAGACACATGAGGCAACATCATGTGAGACAAGAGCCAGCGCACACCCGGGGCTGGCTGCTGAGCTGCAGGGGCTTACGTCACCTGGGATGCCCCCGTCCCACACTGGAGTGCCTGGGGTCAGCTCTTGCCTCCACTCAGGACTGGAGTGGGATGCTGGTCTCCATGGAAACATGAGTTCACAGAAGACAAGAGGCCCTAGAGGAACGCACAGTCCACAAGGGGAAGAGAATAGAACGTGCTACCTTATCCAGACAGGCAGAGGGATGGATGAGGCAGACTCTTGGAGCAAATGTTCTAAATGATACTCAATGAAAAAAAAAAAAGTAAAAGAAGGAGACAGAGAAAAAGAGGGATTTTAGGAATATGAAAAGAAGCAAAGAATCTTCAGGAAGAAACAGTCATAGAGAACCAGTGCAAGAAAAGGTTACAGACAAACTAAGGAGAGGCTAGGTTGACTAGAACTGTGGACAATGACAAAGAGTAGGCCGATTTGTATTCCCGAAGGCAGGAAGCGAATGAAGGATTTACAAATAGTTGCTGGAAAAAAGGGACATTAGGAAAACACTTTCAGTGGATTTTATTTTCGTTAATATTTTCTTTTATAATTTTTTAATGTTTTCTTCTAAAAAAACTGATTTATGGGCCCAGCAATATGGCTCAGTGGCTAAATCCTCACCTTGCACAAGTCAGGTCTTTTTAAGAAAAAGATTGATTTCATTTTATTGGGAAGGCAGATTTACAGAGAGAAGGAGGGACAGAGGCGAGACCAAAGATCTTTCATCCACCGGTTCACTCCCCACGCAGCCTGAGTGTTGGCTCAAGCACACGGGTCCCTGCCACCCCCGTGGGAGATGTATATCGAATAGTGAACTCCTAGCATCAGGAGCATGCAAGCCTTTAGGGAGTGAATTATTGAGCAAAACTTCTTTCTCAGTCTAACAAATCAATGCATCTTTTTCTAAAGTCAGCATCTTTTAGCTCGCTATTTAGTTGTAGAACACAGGGGCAAGCTCCCCACTGGAGAGGAATTAGCAGCACCCAGCAGTGGGTTCCTTGGTTGATGGGCCTGTCTCCTCTCTCGGGAGTGGCTCTGTTGCTACAGGGGCTATTACAGCACGTAAGTGGCAGGACAAAGTTCAAAACAGATGTAATAAAAATAGAAGCCACAGGGTGGACAGCGCTGGTCAGCTGCTGCTGGCTCAGGAATACAGTGTTCACCCTCCACGCTCCGCTCTTGGTCACTCCTGCCAATGGATCCAGCTGCTAACAGCAGCTAACGGCAGGTGTCAGGAGACTGCAGATTCATCAGAGAGGAGAGGAAAAGGTGAAACAAAGACTGTGCCACAGAAAGTATGGGAAGGGTCCAGCACCATGGCTCAACTGGCTAATCCTCCAGCTTCCCTTCTCTTCCCTTTCCCTTCCCTTTTGACCCGGCTCTGCCCTGTCATCCTCCATCTTGTCCCTTTCCCCTGCCCTGGCATCCCCCCCATCCTGCCACCATGCAGGAGATGTGCCCCTTCTAGCTTTCTTCCTCTCTAGCCCCACTTCCGTTCCCTCCCTGTTGGAATAAAGGAACTCCGAAAGCACCCCACTGCATCTGAGATCTTGGCCGGCAGTAAACTTATCCTAAAAAGAGGAGCTGGCTGTGGGAATAAGCTGCACGTAAGAACCGTAATAGCTGTAAGTGCGTTTAAAACCTAACACTGGGGATTAAGATATTCTCTTTGGAAATCACATAAAGCTTACAGGATCACCAACATTAAGTCCCTGTGTGGGCAGCACTCAACCAGGACACGTGAGACCCAGTGGGGAAGGGGGCAAAGCCGGTAGAGGAGCTGTGGAGGGCTCCCCTGCTGGACCACCACTCCCACTGGAGAGCATGAGAGTTGGAATGGGGGCAGACCAGACCAGGCAGGACTACAATCCTTTTGACCTCACGTGGGCTGGATCAGGGGAAAGCCAGGCTGGGTTGACTGTTCCTACTGGTGCATGCACAAGTCAGAGTGAGTGTGGGTTGGATGGGCTTTGCTGTAACATCAGCTGACAGATGCTGGCACAGGGGACAAATTCTGTCAAGTTTAATTCCAGAACCATGTGGAGAGTGCAAGATCTGGGAGTAAGAGTGGATCCAGTAGGGGAACAGTGGGCACCTCCCTCTTGAGTTGCCACTTCCACTGATGAACATGAGAATCAGGACTGGGGCAGACATGGCTAGACAGAGTGGCACCCCGCCAGCATGTGTGAGCTGGATAGTGGGAGTGGGGTGGTTGGATTAAACCAGGCTACAATGCCCATTGACATGTATGAGAGATGAATGGGACACGGGACAGACTGGACCAGTCTACCGTACATATGGAAACCAGGGAAGGGGCGGGCTTTGTAAGGGTTATTGTGGGTCGCTCCAGCAAGGCTGCAGCTCCCGCTAGTATACATGAAGGCTGAGTGTGCAGTGGGCAGGATCGGGCTGGGCTGCAACACCCATTGGTTTGTGTAGAAGACACGGCTGGACACAGAACTGACCCAGCAGTTGCAACCACCAGCATGTACATAAGCTGGTTGGGGCAATGGACTGTGCCGGACCCTGCATTTGCAAGCACACACAGAAATTAGGACTGGGATCACCTCAGATGAAGTTTCTTTGGGAATCCCCCCAACCAAATCGCTGGACTCAGAACCCCAACCATGAAGAGAATTGCGGGTTCCATGGTCTGAACATGGAGTGCAAATATCAGAGCTGAGCCTCCTCAGTGGCTCAGACAGAGCAGTGGACAGCGTACCCAGGTGCACATGGAAAATTTGGCAGCACATTGGAGCCTGCAGAGGACACTTGGTACCATGATAGATGACAGGACAAATCGATCAACTACCCCAGCCAAGTGTCGACGGTGAGCAACTGGGCAAACAGAGACTCTAAGGTGGACTGGGTCAACCAGCAGATTCTGGAGAGATTTCATCGTGCTTGGAGTGGCGAGATCAGCAGTGATTCAGGACTGTTTGAACCATCGCAACCTCATGAGCAGGACCCTCAGAGATGCCCCACATCGGGGACCCGAGGGTGGTGCCTGGTGGCGGCCCTCCATCCCAGGGTGTGCAGGTGGTTGGGAGGCTGGGTGTGGCTTCTCCCCTACTCTCCCCCACTCCCCCAAATACAGGAAGGGAGAAAAGAGAATGTGGAAATGGTGATCTCACCCACCTTCCAGTAACCCTTGACCCTAATCACCCTAATCTACCATGTAAATATCATCAAAAATAAAAATATATTTTAAAAAGTCCCTGTTCATTTTTTTCTAAAGATTTATTTATTTTTATTGCAAAGTCAGATATATAGAGAGGAGGACAGAGAGGAAGATCTTCCATCCAATAATTCACTCCCTAAGTGAGAGCAACGGCTGGGTCTGTGCCAATCCAAACCAGGATCCAGGAACTTCTTCCGGGTATCCTACACAGGTGCAGGGTCCCAAAGCCTTGGGCCGTCCTCTATTGCTTTCCCAGGCCACAAGCAGGGAGCTGGATGGGAAGTGGAGCTGCCAGGATTAGAACCGGTGCCCAAATGGGATCCCGGGGCATTCAAGGCGAGGACTTTAGCCGCTTGGCCACGCCGCCGGGCCCTGTATGTGTCTTTTCTAATGGCAAAGCTCTAGATTAATTCGTGGGTGCTTAACTTTCCTCTTTAGAGGCCCTGAGTCCCATCCACATCATGAAGTGGATCCTGCAGGGTCTCTCAACTAGTGCACCTGCCAGGTTGCAATGTGCTTTATTTATTTTATTTACTTATTTATTTTAAGATTTATTCATTTTTATTGGAAAGGCTGATGTACAGAGAGAAAGAGAGACAGAGAGAAAGAACTTCCAACCAATTATTCACTCCCCAAGTGGCTGCAACAGCTGTAGCTGAACCCATCTGAAGCCAGGAGCCAGAAACCTCCTCCAAGTCTCCCACACAGGTGCAGGATCGCAAGGCTTTGAGCTCTCCCCGGCTGCTCTCTCAGGCCAAAAAAGCAGGGAGCTGGATGGGAAGCAGAGCTGCTGGGATTGGAACCGGCACCCATATGGGATCCTGGCGCATTCAGGGCGAGGACCCTAGCCACCAGGCCACCACGCTGGGCCCCCATATAGGATCTTGGTGCATAAAAGTCGAGCATTTTAGCTGGTAGGCTATCGCGACTAGCCATGAATGTGCAGAGCAAGAGAGCGATGGGTGCATGAACACCAGTTCAAGTCCCAGCTGCTCCACTTCTGATCCAGCTCCCTGCTAACGTGGCTGGGAAGTGATGGAAGATGACCCAAGTGGTTGAGCTTCCTGCACCCCCAAGAGAGACCCAGATGAAGCTCTCGCCTCTGGCCCTTGTGGCCATTTGAGGTCATTTGAAGAGCGAAGCAGTAGATGTCGTTTTTGTTGTTGTTTAAAGATACCTAGACAAAAAAGCAAAGGGGAGAGGATTGGAGGATGGACTGGAACCCAAGGAGAAGGGGCGGGTCTAGCCCCCACTGCCTGCCTTGGCTGCCTCCCCGTTTCTGTCTCAGAAGGCTGTGCCTTAGGCCCTTGCTCCTGGTCCTCCTTGCTGCTGTGGAAGCGTCGCAGCCAGTGGTGTTGTTCCCATTCTGACTCCAGCCTGCACCTGCCGCTCCATCAGTGCGCGTGGGACTGGCACCTGAGAGTAGCACAGCCCTGCAACGCAGGAGGAAGGCAGAGGCAGCAGGCTCTCAGAAACGGAGTTAGGATCCTGCCTCTGCCACGCCACAGCCTTCTTGCTTCGATTTCCTCCCTTGCGGTCCACAGGAGGTGGCTCGCTAGGATTCGAACGCAGGCTACTCTACACTGTGGCGCCACCTTGGGCCGATTACTTCATCTCTGAGCCTCCGTTTCCCCTTTTGCAACAACACGTGGTTGCTTGTGAGGGCTAACCCAGAACATCCATGGGCTAACCTTGGACACTCCACAAGGGGTAAGGAGATAGCGCCTTCTCCCGTCTGCCCCCCCAGTCACCTGCACCGGGCCTTGGGGAGCGGGAGGTCCCTCGGTGGCGGGGTCGCGGGCCGACTGTCGCGACAGCGGCGGTGCATTGTGGGGCTTGTAGTGCCGGGGCCGGGGCTGGGTGGGTGGGCGCGGCCGCGGCAGGCGCAGTGGGGCCATCTTCGGCGGCCGGCCGGACGAGCTCGGCCAGTGCAACCCTGCGCCAGCTCCCTGCACCCGGCCCCATGGCGCCGCGGCCGCTGGGCCCCTTGGTGCTGGCGCTGGGTGGCGCGGCGGCCGTGCTCGGCTCGCTGTTCTTCATCCTCTGGAAGGCCTACTTCGGCCGCGGGCGGCAGCGGCGCTGGGACCAGGGCGAGGCCTGGTGGGGCGCCGAGCCGGCCCGCCTCCCCGAATGGGACGAGTGGGAAGTGAGTATCGGGCCCGTCGAGGGGGCGCGCGCAGCCGCGGGGTGTCACCGCGGGACGCGGAGCGCCGGGAGGGCGCTGGGGACAGGGCGCTGGGCGGCCCCCAGCACGCAGGCCCCCGGGGCAGGTGAGCACGCGGTGGGCGGCGGGGCTCCGGACCCCGGGCCCGGGTGAGCGTGCTTGGGTGTGTGATGCCGCCCTCCGAATGCGGCGGGACTCAGCCGCGAACCCGTGCCAGAGAAGGAAGGGCGCGGCTAGGGAAGAGTGATTGCCGGGTCCGGCTGAGGCCAGCTCAGCGGTTGCGCAGTGCACGTGGTGGTGCAGTCCTCTGGGAGGCCAGGAGGGAACCCCAGCGTACCCCTTTCTCGGATTTCGGGGTACCCCTGCGCCAGGGAGTTTGCAAAAGTTGTGGCTCCGGACAAGCTGGCATGTGGGAAGGGTGTGGAATCCAAGGCTTCCCGTGGCAGCACTCCTCCCACTGCCCCAAGCCAGGCCGCCCTGCCCGCGCCCGCACTGGTGGAAGGCCGGCACAGGTGGCATGTTCTCTCTGGGAGGGTCGGGTGGGAGGATCGTGGGCCGCTCGCAGCCTGCCCCCTGTGCCCGCAGCCCGAGGACGAAGACGAGGAGGAGGAGCCGGCGCTGGAGGAGCTGGAGCAGCGCGAGGTGCTGGTGCTGGGCCTGGATGGCTCGGGCAAAAGCACATTCCTGCGTGTGCTGACCGGGAAGCCACCGCTCGAAGGCCACATCCCCACGTGGGGCTTCAACTCGGTGCGGCTGCCCACCAAGGACTTCCAGGTGGACCTGCTGGAGAGTGAGTGGACGCCCCCATTCCCTGGGGCCTGGAGCTTTTGAAGGCGGCAAGGGCATGGACAATAAGCTTAAGTACAACACCCTTCCCTCCACCCCGCCAGGAGCTCCTTCCTGGGGGGAGGAAACCACGCCCCAGCTGGCGCCCTGACTGCCTCCGCCCCTCCCACCCCAGCCGTGAAGGACCCTGCTATGTTGCCTGTCTCAACATGCCCTTTGCTCCACCCACTGTTCCCTTGGTCTGAAAAATCCTTCTTTCCTTGATGCCTTGCAAGATTTGGTTCTAAGCAGGCCTGTCACCTCACGCCCTGCCTGACTCCCAGGCTAGATCCAGGACCACCCTAGGCACTGCTGGAGTGGCAGAGCTTGCCCATGCCGCCCTATGCCTCCCGCTAGATCATGTGTGCCCTGGGCCGCCTCTGAGTTAGCCCCCTTGGGAGAGCTGGATGAATGGGGCATAGGGATACGGGGTCTGTCCGAGTTCCCTACCAGCCCAAGATCTATGCTTCTTGGAGTTTAGCAGAGCTGGCAAGAGAAGGCGTTGCAGGAGCAGGTGTCAGACCACAAAGGTTGGGTTGAGTGACAACTGCTGGCCCCCGTGGACTTGTGGCTGTGGTCTTCAGCGCTTGCCTGCCTGCTGCCCGGCCGCAGCGGGAGCCTGTCTCCTGCAGGATTCTGACCCCTTCAGCAAGCTTTCTCTGCCTTCTCGAGGCAAGAGCTCGGGTCAGGTGGGAACTCTGCCTGGTAGAAAAAAAATAGCCCTGCCGCCCCAGCCCCAGCCCCAGGAAACAGGGATGGATGTTGGCTTGTTAGCTAAAGGTCTCCAGGATCAAAAATGCGAGGAGGGTCGCTGAGTCTTGAGTCACAGGCACCTCTCCCTGCAGGCCTGGGGGTTTCCCGTCCCCTCTGTGGTCCCCTGCAGGGCCTGGCCTGGGGCCCTGCGTGGATGAGTGCCTGGAGGAGTAAGCTCAGCATCCAGGTGATGCTTTTCTTCCCCTCCTGTGCAGTTAGCAGCTGGCTCTGTCCACTTGCTGCCTGCCCAGGCGCTGTGACCTCTCCTCCCTGGACACCCCTCGTCTGTCTCCAGGCTGAGAGATCTCTTTGCGAAGTCGGCAGCAGAGCGTGTTCCTTCTTGCATCACGCACGAGGCTCTCCCCAACCTGCCAGTGCTCTTTGGGGACCATGTGGCCCAGCGCTGGCCAGCCCTGCTGCCTTCGCCCTCCTCTGGTGCCTCAGCTGCCACCTCAGCCTTCGAGCTGTTTCTAGGGCATCTTGAACTTGCCCTTCCCCTCTACCTGCACTTAGTTTTTGTAAGCTCAGCCCCTGTCCACCTCGGGGGACACCATTCCAGTCCAGCCAATCCAAAGCCCCCATCTCTGTTTCTCTCTGCTTGCTTCCTCCTTGACTGAGTGGTGTTGGTACTGCCCTGTCCATGCCACCAGGGAGGGACCACCTTGACAGAAGGCCCTGCACACCCAGCTCATCTTTGCATCCCTGGCCCCCGGTCAGTGGTTGGCATCTAGCAGGCACTCCATCAGTGTTTGATGATCGTCTGCTGAGTGCCGGCCATTTGAGGGGTTCAGAGAGGAGGGTGCCTCTGGCTCTGAGTCCACACGTGTCAGGGTGACCACAAGCCTGAGCTCCAGGCTGACTCTTGTGGGCAGCCACGTGTTGGGAGGTTCAAGTGGCATGTGCAAGACACCAGAAGGCTAGGAGAAGTGGACTGAAGCAGGGCTGGGTATCATCAGTAGGCCAGGTGTCCTCGGACCATGGTCATCGCTGAGTAGAGGAAGCTAGGGCCTTGGTAAGAAGTGAGGCAGCCCAGGAGAGAGAACTGAGGGTTCCCCCATCACCCAGCTGTATGTCATTCCTCTGAAAGGCACCCTGCTTATGGAACCTGAGGTGTGGCACCTGTTGGGTGAGCAGGTAAGATGCCATTGGAAGGTAGCAGTTCACCCTAGGACACCCAGATAAACCTGGCCTCCTGGGCCATGGAACCTGCAGTCCTTTTTCTGCCCCCTGGCTGGGGGACGTTGGGAAGCTGGCAGTAGGTTGTGGTTGGGACTGTGGGTCGAGAGCCAGGTCGCAGCAGAGCCCTGAGCCGGCCCTGGCCTCTCCCCAGTTGGTGGCAACCAAAACCTGCGCTTCTACTGGAAGGAGTTTGTGAACGAGGTGGACGTGCTGGTGTTCATGGTGGACTCGGCAGACCGGCTGCGGCTGCCCTGGGCCCGTCAGGAACTACACAAGCTGCTGGACAAGGACCCTGACCTGCCTGTCGTCGTGGTGGCTAACAAGCAGGTGAGTGTCACAGGAGCCTAGCCCCAGCCGAGTTGGTCGGCTGCTCGCAGAGGCCTGGGTGTCGCCCTGGGAGTTCGGTTAAGGTCCACCTTGTCTGTGCTCCTTCCTGTTCCTCTGCCTGCCTTCCTCTGCAGAGAGGAGAAAGTATCAGATATATGTCAGATGTGGTGGGTTTTTTAATGATTTATTTATTTTTATTGGAAAGGCTGATGTACAGGGAGGAGAAATAGAGAGGAAGATCTTCCGTCCGATGATTCACTCCCCAATTGACAACAACAGCCAGTGCTGTGCCGATCCGAAGCCAGGAGCCAGGGTGCAGGGTCCCAAGGCTTTGGACCATCCTCCACTGCTTTCCCAGGCCACAAGCAGGGAGCTGGATGGGATTAGAACCAGTGCCCATATGGGATCCCGGCACATTCAAGATGAGGACTTTAGCTGCTAAGCCACAGTGCTGGGCCCCAGATGTGGTTTTGACTAGCATTTCTTCCTGGGCTTCTGTTGACCCTACAAAGTCCTACAAGGGGAACCATCCCCATTTTGCATTTACTCGTGGCCACTGTGGCTTCGAGAGCTCACCTCCAAAAAGAGGTGAAAGTCAGAGATAAGGAGGGTCTGGAGCCTGGAGGGACCGTCCTGAGGCAGCCCTCTGTTAACAGGGTTTCTGAGACAGCCAAAGATGGTCTGTCTCACCGGGACGGGCTGGGAGGAGCATGCTGTGGGCTGTTACAACTCTAGACCAGCTGCTGTATTTCACTCCAGGACCTGAGCGAGGCCATGAGCGTGGTGGAGCTGCAGCAGGAGCTGGGCCTGCAAGGTGTCGATACACAACGGGAAGTTTTCCTCTTGGCAGCCAGTGTAGCTCCGGCAGACCCTAGCTTCGAAAATCCTGGCACCGTGCACATCTGGAAACTGCTCCTGGAGCTTCTCTCCTAGGCTGGAGCCCACCCACCTGCTCCCCCCTACCCAGCCCTGGGGACCACACGTCAGCTGCTGCTGTTTCTGCTTCTTCATCACCAGCTCGGCCGGGAGCCTGGGAGCCCAGGACACTTTCCCTTCTTCTTTCCCTCCGCCAAGAGCAAGGCCAAGAACCACAGAGAGAAGCCCTCCTGCGGCCCTGAGGCTGAAGTAGGGCGATGAAGAAGCACAGCGCTGGGAGAGCAGAGTGCCTGGCTCGTTCTAGTTGCCAACACAGCTCAGCCTCCCGTTTGAGTTGCCCGCTGGGCTCCAGGCTCCCCACCTTGCAGGTCCCAGCAGTGGGAGAAGCAGCAGAGGTTGTCAGAAGGCCTCCTGGAGCCTGGAGGTCTCCTGGTTCTAGACCACGCCCTCCTGCTGCCTTCCTGCCTTCCCTCCCTCCCACCCGCGGGCAGGCTCTGGCCATCGCCGTGCAACGAGCCCTTGCTGCCAGTCCCGTACCACAGTCCTCCCTGCTCTGCCAAGTGGCTTGTGGCCTTCCTCTTGCCATCTCTGCCTCTCTGGCCCTAGGGCCGTCATCGCTCAAGGAAGGGAATTCCCATTTTCCCTTAACTTGGAAGAAATGTATTTCCCAGCAATGCTAGGAAGAACCCGAAGGCCCCAGCTGGGAGCTTTTGGGAGAGCTCCCCTGCTTCTCCTTGAGCCAAAGCCTGGCAGGTCCTGCCAGCCTCCCCGGCTACAGGAGTGAGGGGAGGCCACCCCGCCTTTGCACCCACCCTACCTGGAGACAAAGCTGCTGCCAGTTCCATGTTTACACGGAGTCCAGGGGAGAGGCAGGAGTGTGGGCTCAGCTGGGCTGGGCCTCGGGGCCATGTCTTCTTTCTTTATTTATTTATAAGAGGAAACGGGCTGCCATTCCAGGTGCTGTTTCTAGGTGCTGTTTTATCCAAGCCCCAGCTGACACAGAAAACGTGGGACTTGGAGGACAATTGTTTGCAAGCATGAATAATAATAAGCTAACCGACAGATGCCAGTAGAGACAGAGCAAGTGCCAGCTGCCTGCCCAAAGCCCCTGGGCCTTGTAGGCTTGGGTTGATCCCACACTGTCTCACACCTGTTCACATGAACAGTCCCGACTAAGAGGTACGCTTGTTGGATCAGCAATGACCTTGGGAGAGAAAATGTCCATTATGTCCCAAAGCGTGCAAATGCTGCTCCAATCCTGTGACTCCAGTCCACAGGTAGCAGGCCGCCAGCAGGGTGGACTAGCTGTTTTGGACCCGTGCAAGCCCCTCCATTGAAGGCCGAGTTGGACTGAATTCCTGGGGTTCTGTCCATGCACATCCCATCACTCCTGCGCTCGGCGGAAGGCCAGTGTGGCGGCGACAGTTCTCGTGGGTGCAGGCAGAAGGAGCCTTCTGTGGTGCCTGAGTAAATCGGGCACAGCAAGTGGGATGTTCCTTGAGGACAAGCTGGCCCACTGCATTGCTTTCTGAGGGTGGACGGCGTTCCACTGACCGCTGGCCCAGCATGCATCAGTTCCATACCGCGGCCAGTGCTGGGAGGTGCAGGGGTGGGGTGGGGTGAGCAGTTGTGCAATGCAGACGGGGAGTGTGCCCTGGGAGTGGGCTGTCGGTACAGCACATGGCATGGCTCTTGCCAGTTCACTTTCCGCAGCCAGAAGTGGGTATTCTGCTTTTCTATGACATGTTTAAGAGAATGACTTGGATTTTTAGAGTAGTGAGACTTTTTCGCGGCCAGCTTTTCCTTGTGTCCTCCGAAGGGTGGGCAGCCTTGTTGGGTGACTTCTGCCTTGTTCTCCTGTGTCCGAGGGTTACCTTGGGAACCAGCATTCCTTACGGAACGGGACCCTTTTTCCTAATGGAAACCTGCCTTTGTCTAATGAATACCATTATGTTGTACAATTTTCTAAGTCCCCAACAAGGGGAGGTAAACTTGGAAGAATAAAAAGTTTCACTATCTACCTGAGCTGCTTTTGTTGAAATTACTCTCAAGCCTCAAGCCAGTGGCACACTGGAGGCACGGGGCCTCCCTGAGTCTGCTGGTGGGGGTGGAACTGCACTGCTGGGTTGTCCCTCCACAGTGACAAACCAGCTGTCCACCCAGCCGCTCTACCTTGTACCACCAGACTGAGCAAAGGGGAGAGGCGGTAAGGCCCCATCTAGGCGCCTGGCGCTGTGCTGCTCTCACCTGCTCCTGGCAACCAGCCCAGCTTCCTAGAGTTGCCCATCTAAAGGAAGTCCCTGATCTGACCTCCCCATGCCAGCACAACAGCTGCCAGCCTTGCTAAGCCTGGGACACTTGGGGCTGGGCAGCTCTCAAGTCCCGAGATCACGGGAGGGAAGGTGGCAGTTCTGAGAGCAGGCAGCACCAGCTAGTGTCCACTCCATTTCACATGGGCACCTAGGCCCATACCCGCCACTTGGTCCCCGGGGCTTCTGTTCTGCAGGGCTGCCTCCCGAGAACCAAGCATGGCTGTCGGTCTCCGACTCTCTGACCTGCGGCCATCCCTTTGAGAAGAGGCCGCCCTGGCACAGTGTTAAGGCACTTGGGAAGCCTGGGGCAGGAAGACTCCCAAGAAGCCACCCTTCTCCCCCAACAAATAAAACAAACCAAACCAAGAAGCCACCCCAGGGAACTCCTGGCACCCGGAACTGCACGTCTGCGACTTGTCTGAGAAAGTATTGCTCAATTACTATAAGGCCCGGGAGGATGAAGTCAGCCTGTCACACCGCAGTTTCCCTGCTGGGCTGTAGATGAAAATCCGATGCCACTCTGCCCCAGGTCAAACACCAGACTCCCCAAAACCTTTTCCTCTCGCCTTGGGGAGCATTCTACTGCGCTCCTGCTCTGGCCCCGCTGCCGATTCTGGCCTGCGGTGCCCATCCTCCCACACCTGGCCCGCGGTTCTCTGATGTGGTGCCCTTGCAACTGATGTCCATTCACACAGCTTCAGGAGTAGGGGTTTTCAGGCTGGCACTGTGGTGTAGCTGGCTAAGCCACAGCATCCAGTGTAGACATCCCATCTGGACGCTGGTTCGAGTTCTGGTTGCTCCATTTTGGATCAAGTTCCCTGATGATGCACCTAAGAAGTAGAGAATGGGACCCGGCGTGGTAGCCTAGCAGCTAAAGTCCTCACCTTGAACGCACCAGGATCCCATATGAGCACTGGTTCTAATCCCAGCAGCCCCACTTCCCATCCAGCTCCCTGCTTGTGGCCTGGGAAGGCAGTGGAAGACGGCACAAAGCCTTGGGACCCTGCACCTGCATGGGAGACCTGGAGGATGTTCCTGGTTCCTGGCTCCAGATCAGCTCAGCTCCGACTGTTGCAGTAACTTGGGGAGTGAATTATCAGACATAAGATCTTCCTTTCTGTCTCTCCTCCTCTCTGTATATCTGACTTTGCAATGAAAATAAATAAAATCTTTAAAAAAAGAAGGAGAATGGCTCCAGTACTTGGGCCCCTTGCACTCACTGTGGGAGACCCAGATACTTCAGCCCTTGGAGAGGAGGGGGGAATCCCCATACCTACAAAATTATATCATGGAAAATAATTGAAAATATATATACAAAGATTTATTTATTTATTTATTTGAAAGGCAGATTTTACACTGAGGAGAGTCTTCCATTGCTGGTTTACTCCCTAAACAGCTATAATGATTAGAGCCGAGTCAACCTAAGTCAGGAGCCTGGAGCACCTTTCTAGGTTTCCCACCTGGGTGCAGGGTCCCGAGGCTTTGGGCTGTCCTCTGCGGCTTTCCCAGGCCGCAAGCAGGGAGCTGGATTGAAGTGGAGCAGCTGGGATTCAAACCAGTGCCTACATGGGATGTCAACACTGCAGGAGAGAGGATTGGCCTGCTATGCCACTGTGATGGCCACTGATGGACTTGCTAACGACAGCCATTCCACACGCCTTGGCCCAGCACAGGCCTTGGCCTAGTCTCTGCATTCCAGACAAGAGCTCTGGGCTCAAGCTTAGTCTAGCAAATAGCAAGCAAATGAAAAGGAATGTTTGCAGTAGCGACGGTACTGCTGCAGGAATGTATGGGGTGGGGTGGCAACTGCAGACCGCCGCGGGGGCGGGGAAGGAATGCTGTACTCTCAGCACCTGAGCTGGGTCAACAAGGGGACGGCACAGTCCAGGTCCTGAGAGTGGACTTCTGTGCAAGGACACAAAACAGAGCTGGGGCGCCAGCCAGCCACTGCTGGGGCGCCAGCCTGGGTTCTGGCAGCCTGCCCCGACTGTGGGCAGTGAGCTGCTTGCGGGGGCCTCAAGAGAGGACAGCCAGAAGGCCTCGCTTTGCTGGACAAGAGCCTGGGCCACAAACCCCAGAGGCATCACCCCAGCCTGGCTTCCTGCCTGTGGAAAGGTAAAACCCCACGTCCCACAGGGTTTCACACCAAACGCAAGCCCTCCTTTTCAATGAGAAGGGACAGAATACAGGTGCTTACGGGAGAAACTTTGTGAATGAGTCTTTGCTTGTTTTTATATAAAGACTTTATTTGAAACACTTACAGGAAATAAAAAGATCTTCCATTTGCTGGCTCACTTCCCAGCTGGCCACAATGGCCAAGATCAGATCAAACCGGAGCCAGGAACCAAGAGCTTCTTCTGGGTTTCCTATGCGGGCACACAGCTCAGGCACTTGGACCATTCTCTGCAGCTTTCCCAGGCCATTAGCAGAGAGCTGGATCAGAAGTGGAGCAGCCATCCATGCAGGATGTTGGTGTGATAGGCGGCAGCTTAACCTGTTGAGCCGTAGTGCTGGCCCCAGAACAGGGTTTTTGTGTAACCATTTCAGGGATAAAATGCCTACTGTGCACCCTGCCTGTAATACTGCTCCCCAGAAGGACAGCCATGCTATGTGGAGCTCAGGGCTCAGGACACACCAGGGTGACACCCAGCAGCCCACGAGTCCCAGAGGAAGGAGGCAAGGAGGGCCTCAGCCCCACCTCAGGCGGCACGAAGCAGAGGTGGCAGGCTGCATGGAGAGCACTCAGTGGGTCACCCTCCTCACCCTCTGGCAGCCCCCTGGCCAGCGGCCAGGTTCTGGCACGCTTTGTAGAAGAGTCAATAGAAGCGACACCTGCTGGCACGACTAGATGGCCTCTGCCATGCAGGGGAGCCACAGGGCTTGGCTGACAGGGACAAGTAGAAAACCATCAGCAAAGTCAAGGTCCTTGTTTTATTATGAGACAGACTACACTCAAACCACCCACTCTGAAAGCGGCTCTCCTGGCTTTCCCGTGAGTACCAGAACAAACTGGAGCCTTTGAGAACAGCTCCTTTCCCAGAAGAAATTATGTGTGTGTGTCCATGTGTGTGTGTCCCTCAGATTCCACGGGCTGTGGCAGCCGCATCCAAACCTGCACACCGTTCCCCGATGGCCTTACTCCGGCATCACCGGGCCAGCAAGAAACCCCGGCCCAGGGGCAGGTGTAAAGCAGTCACTCAGTGTCCATCTTCTTCGGCAAGGAATCAACGAAGGCTTGCCACTCCTCTGGGTAAAAACGTTTATAGACGTTGATCTTGTTCCGAATCTGCTTTGGGGTGTCCTGATAGTAATTTTTCTCATCCCGGGCCATGGCCTGCGGAGGGAGAAGATGGCACCAAGGGATGACGAAGGGCTTCACAGGCCAGGGTGCAAATCCCAGCCCTGCTGCCCTGAGCCGCACGAGCCATTTCCCGTCCCTGCGGTTCCAATTCCTCACTTCCAAAGACAGGGTTTGTGTGGAGTCCCTCTGCACCGAGGGGCCAGGGAAATGGGCAAAGACATTCTTTGGGGTCAGCAGGCCTGCCAGTCCAGAGGGCAGGTGTGAGCGGGCCCAGCTGAAGAGCGTGTACCCCACCCACAACTGGCCAACTGTGCCCAGGGAAGCTACTAAGGCCAGGGCTTTCCATTTCAAAAGGAGCCAAAATTATGGTCTCTCATTTGAGCCTTCCAGAATAAAAATGGTGAGCAGCTGCATGACAGCATGCGAGCCCACCGCATCTGAGTGGGCATCAGGATGCAGGCCGTGCTGCTCCGCCCCTCCCCGCCGTAAACACGCTGGGACCCAGGTCCTAGACTCCCTCTCACTCCACTTTAGTCTCAGCAAACGGAGCAGGCGAGCGTGCACCTCACCAGCCAGCCCCGGGGATCTTCCCACCCGGCCACTCACCTTGTAGTCCTCCCCGTGGTTCTCCACCATGTAGCGCACGTAGTCTATGAGGTCCCGAGAGAGCGTATTTCCCTTTTTCTCTGGGAGGCTGGCTTCTGCCTCCAGCTCTTTGGGTGGGAGAGAAGCCGGGGTCAGAGAATGAAGCTTTGCATGTCCAATCACCCTTCACCCAACCAGCCAGGGGTCTTAGGTCTCCTCAATCTTTGAAGCTGTTGCTGGAACATTCCATAGCAGCCCCTGGGATCCCAGGCACTGTCTCTCTTATGACTCAACCATCTCTCCGCGTAGTAAGTACCTTTAGAGTGAGTCACCTGTCTCCCAGCCTCAGAGGGGTTTAAAAGGAAGATGCCCAAGTTAGAATCCCTCCTCAGTGTCAAGCCCTGGAGACAGAGAGGAGACACCTGCCAGGGACCCGTTGCAGATGCCGTGCCGCTCAGAGAGCCCCTCTGCCTTCAGGATTCCAACACAGCCAACGTGAACCCTGACAGGCATGGGGAATGAAGCTGGACCTTCCTCTTCATGTGAAGGAACAACTCAGGCTGTGGGGCCAAAAGTGGTCCACTTTAAATAAAGATTTACTTTAGATTTCAAAGTCAGCCACACAGAGGACAGACAGGCAGATCTTCCATTCCCTGGCTCACCCCCCAAACGGCGGGGAGCCAGGAGCCTCAAGCCTCATTTAGGTCTCCCGTGTGGACAGCAGGGGCCAAATACTTGGATCATCCTCTACTGCTTTCCCAGGCCACAGGCAGGGAACTGGATGGGGAGAGGAGCAGCCAGTGGCCTTACGTGCTACGCCACAACGCCAGTCCTTACTTTGCAGCCTGGCTCAGTCCCAGCCGTGTGACTGCTGGGGTGTGAACCAGCAGGTGGAAGATGTCAACCTCTCACTCTCTCTGCCTTTCAAGTAAAGAAATCCTTTGAAATTGAGTAAATAGATGAAATGGGTAGGCCGGTGAGGGCACGTGGCACAGGAGGAAAACACATACCACCTCAGCCTGAGCCTTCCAGGTTGAGTGCTGGCCAGTCCACTTCTGACCAGGTTCCTGCTGATGCGCGTCCCAGCGGGCACCAACAGATGGCTCAAGGAGTCGGAGCCCTGCTACCCACGTGGGAGAGCCAGCGTGCGCTCCAGGTGCCAGGCCTCAGACCAGCCCTGTTGCGGGCATTTGAGAAATGAAACAACAGAAGGAAGAAAGACAACAAGATGTTTTCAAATCCTTGTGGTTACGATGGCAAAGTGTATGTACTTTTTTAACTACAGCTGAATTCTCCTTGATCATATAATAAGTACACACGGCTTTGTTCTCGCGAGAACCACTGACACGGACTAAAGACAGGAACTCAATGACCTCATATCAGGTGTCTGGTTATGCACAATCCTTCACCAGCAAGTCAGAGGAAGGGGGCGTGGAAACTTCTGGAGTGTTCTTCCTGCCTTCCTGAAAGGTTTACTCTTCTAACATCGTTAAGTTCTACCCGTGTAGAACTTCATGTTAAGTTCTTAACATTCCACTGAAAATGGCCTGGCCAAGATGGTCAAGGACACAGCGGCTTTGGGGTTCTGATTTTTGTTTGTTTTCGGCCAAGAATGTTTTGCTATCTGAAAGGCAGGACAACAGAGAGGGGGGAGAGACAGAGAGCCATCTTCCACATACTGGTTCATTCCCTAAACAGCCAAGTCTGGGCCTGATCACAGCCAGCAGCCAAGGACTCCATCTGGGTCTCCCACATGGCTGACAGGGGTCCACGCACTTGGGCCCACCACGTGCTGCCTTCCCAGGCACCTGTGCAGGAAGCCGGATTGGAAGTGGAGCATCCAGGACCTGAATGGGCACTCCAATGCAGAATGCAAGCATGGATAGTCCATGGCCACAACCCCAGCTTTCCTTCCCCTAGGAACCTGTGCGTCGGTGTGTAAGGACAGACACCCAAGGGCTAATTCCAGCTCTGGCACGGCAGAGTGGTGACCCACACCTACCATTCAGCACGTACGGCTTCCGTACAAGCTCCTGGGGCCTCATCTCACCATCCACTGCCATGGCCTTCATCTGCAGAGAATAGAACACGTAAGGGCAGAGGACAGAGAAGGTCAACCAAGGAGAAAGAGAAAGATCCTCCATCCACTGGTTCACTCCCCAAGTAGTCACAACAGCCGGAGCTGCACCAATCCAAAGCCAGGAGCGAGAAGCGTCTTCTGGGTCTCCCACGCAGAGATTCCAAGGCCCTGGGCTATCCTCTGCTGCTTTCCTAGGCCACAAACTTAGAAAAGTGGAGCAATCGGGACAGGAACCAGCACGCACATGGCATCCCAGCACAGGCAAGGCGAGGACCCGAGTCACTAGGCTATTGTGCCGGGCCCAAAGACCAAGTTTTAAAGACTCCTGTATCCTAACACAACTATATCACCCACAAGAATCCCTGCCCAGGTCAGGACTGGACTTCTGGCACTGTGGTACGGGAGGCCGAGCCTCTGCCTACAGCACCATCTTCCCATGTGGGAACTGATTCAAGTCCTGACTGCTCTGCTTCCAACCCAGTTCCCTGCCAATGCGCCTGAGAAAGCGGCAGCAGACTGTCCAAGGACTTAAACTCGGGGTCACCTGCGTGGGAGGCCCAGATGGAGTCTGGGCTGCTGGCTTCAGCCTGGCCTCGTGAGTTTTGGGGCCATTTAGGGAGTAAACCAGCAAGTGGAACACCTTTCCCTCTGCTTCTGACTCTGCCTTTCAAAATAAATAACCCTTAAAAAGAAAAAAAAAATGCATTCAGCAAGCCCATTTATTATTTATCAATTGAGCACTGTCGCATCCTGAACACTCTAGATTTGGCAGAAAGCAAAAACTTGTTGTCACCAAGGTGATCACATTGGGAAGCAGATAATAAACACAAGGAGAGCCCGGCACGATAGCCTAGCGGTTTAAATTCCTGCCTTGTACACTCTGGGATCCCATATGGGCACTGGCTTTTGTCCCGGCAGCTTACTTCCATCCAGCTCCCTGCTTGTGGCCTGGGAAAACAGGCATGGACAACCCATGTACCAGGTACTTAGGACCCTGTACTGCGTGGGAAACCTGGAAAAGGCTCTGGGCTCCTGGCTTTGGATCTGTGCAGCTCTGGCAGTTGTGGCTGCTTAGGGAGTAAATCAATGAACAGAAGATCTTCCTCTCTGTATATTAGACTTTGCAACAAAAGTAAATAAATAAACACAAGGAAATATATGCTGTAATAAACCGTCAGGTGCTAACAAACGCTAGGATTCAGAGCAGGGAAAGGATTCTAAATGAGAAAGGGTCATATTTTTGCAGCTTTGGAAAGATGGTCCAGAGGGAAAAGAAAGACTGCTCAGAAAATATCGCGCTAGGGAAGGCTCACACCAAAACGAAGTCAGCAAAGAGCCTAAACCCCAAAGGGTCCTTCCTAGAGATGGCAAGGAACTTACACAGGTTCACTTCAGGAGCATAAGACTCGGTGAGAGAGCGAAAAGGGGCCATTCCTGCCCAGGCCGTGTGCTGTGCGGGGGTGTGGAGGGCGATGGCAGGGGGAGGGAGGGACCCCCGAGGAGGAGCTTGTCCCCAGCCCGGGAAAGGACCCCGAGGAGGAGCAGGGCAATGGCAGAGGGAGGGACCCCCGAGGAGGAACAGGGCGATGGCAGAGGGAGGGACCCCTGAGGAGGAGCAGGGTGATGGCAGAGGGAGGGACCCCCGAGGAGGAGCAGGGCGATGGCAGAGGGAGGGAGGGACCCCCGAGGAGGAGCAGGGTGATGGCAGAGGGAGGGACCCCCGAGGAGGAGCAGGGCGATGGCAGAGGGAGGGAGGGACCCCTGAGGAGGAGCAGGGTGATGGCAGAGGGAGGGACCCCCGAGGAGGAGCAGGACGATGGCAGAGGGAGGGACCCCCGAGGCAGCCGAGGAGGAGCAGGTCCCCAGCCCGGAGTGAGGCGCGAGGGAGCGGGCAAGGACTGCAGCGCGCAGGCTGGCCACTACCTGTCTCTTGCGGAAGGGCACCGCCTTGTTGGGGTCCATGGCCAAGCCCATCTCGGCCAGGTTCTGCCGCACCGACTTGGTATGGTCCCAGGCATGTCGGATGTGAGAGCTACGGACAGAGGGAGACGAGAGAACAGAGGTGGCGGCGCAGTCCTCCCGCGGGCTGTCCCAGCCCAGCCGGCTCCCGAACGCCCGGCCCCTCACCACTCGATCCGTGGCGCCGCTTTCCGACGGGCATTCCGGTTCAGACGCTTTCGGTTGACGTTGTAACCGAACTTCTGCCTCCTGGTCTTGCCCTTGGCCTTGGGCATCGCGCTCGCTGACCACCGCACCGGTATCACACTCACAACCGCGTGGGGACACACTCCTTCCGGCGGGCGGCGCAAGGCTTTCTGGGAAATGTAGTCCGCTCTCAGTAGCGCTCTCCTGGAAAGAACTACAACCCCCAGAAGGCCACGAGCGCCGGCGCCTGCGTACAACCAACACTCAGACTATCCCGTCCGTTTCGTGACCTCATCAGAAGGCGGAGCTCGGCGTCCCGGTTTTCTCCTACCCTCGGCCCCAGCAATGGCGACTCCCGACCCTATGACTCCCCAGGGCCCCTTTGAAGCGTCGCAGCCTCCTGTCATTGAGGGGTTCAGCCCCAGTATCTACAGAAATCCAGAAAGCTTCAAGGAAAAGTTTCTTCGCAAGACGCGTGAGAACCCGATGGTCCCCCTAGGTAAGTGGGGGTACCTAGGAGCTGCATCTGGGGAGGACGTGAGGTCGGGGCATGGAGACCCGGGCTGCTGGACCAGGGGTGCCATGGGGGGCCATGCTGGAAGCTGATTGGAGGGAGGCTGGCGGGAGGGCACCCCGCCTCGGCCAGCCTGGCCCCCAGGCCTGGGCTCCGGGAAGGGAGCCTGCAGTGCGGGGGTGCCCTCCTGCCGCAGCTCCCACCTGTGCGTCCCGTCCGCAGGTTGCCTGGGCACGGCGGCCGCCCTCTCCTACGGCCTCTACTGCTTCCACCGGGGCCAGAGCCAGCGCTCCCAGCTGATGATGCGTACCAGGATCGCCGCGCAGGGCTTCACGGTGGCTGCCATCCTCATGGGCCTGGCTGCATCTGCCATGAAGTCCCGGGCCTGAGCTCTCGGCGGGCCCGGGAAAGCTCCGCAGAGGTCCTTCCAAAAACACAGACGCCACCATCAGCCTTGCCACAGGACAGTACCCTTCTCTTGCCCCATCGGGTCCCGGTGTCGTTGGGGGAGGAGGACGTGGCCCATTGTGTATCGGATTTTTCAGGAATCCCAGATTGAGTTCGACTAAGGTGTTGCGTACTTCTAAGCGTGCCGTGTGCCTTTCACTCCCAACTTAATAAAGAACCCACTGGCCGGCCGATGAATTTTTTCTCCGGCTCATCCCGAGCGTCTGAGGTCTCTGACTTGAGGAGGAGACAGACTTCAGATTGGAGTGACCCCGTAGAAATCATGTAAGATAGTAATTACCAAACTTATCACCAATAGATTCTCAGGACACATTCTCAGGGTGACATTGTGGCATTGCAAATTAAGCCACCCCATATGGGTGCTGGTTCAAGTCCCAGCTGCTCCACTTGTGGGAAAGCAACAGGGAATGGCCCAAGTGCTTGGGCCCCTGCACCCACTTGGGAGACCTGGATGTGAGGCTCCTGGCTCCTGGCTACGCCTGACCCGGGCCTGGTATTGCAGTCATTTAGGGAGAATGGGGAATCTCGCTTCCCGTCTCTCTCCTTCTAACTCTGCCTTCCAACTACATATGTATATAGTATATTATATACAAATCATATAATATATAACAACGTACATTATCTATCATGTAAGTATATTATATGTATAATTCTCAGTTTTATCTTTTCATGATTCTAGCTCCTTAGGTTTACAGCAGCAGTATTTGTTAGGAAGGTCCACTGGGGACGCCCCTCTGCTGAGGCCCAGCAGGTCCCACGGGAGGGAGAGGCCTGTGCTCTCCGCTCCGCGCCATACGAAAGAGCATGAAGAGGGACGGGGAGTGCGTGACATGTGACTGGGTGGCTGGGTTTCCGCCCCCACTGAGATCTCTTGAGCTGCCAAACAGAGATCACAACTGTGAAACGGGGCACTGTGGCTTGGCCTCAGGACACGAGCAGAGGCCCTGGAGTGGCGAGCACCTGGCGCTGTGAACAGTCGGCCCATGGTACTGTCACCTGGAAATGTATGTGGACGTCCCAGGCTCCACCCCGTTCCTCTCAACATGGCCTTCTTTGCAAACGGACTCTCCGTGGAGGCAGGTCAGATGAGGCCATGACGGCACTCCCAGTCCCACAGGATTGGCCACAGGACACCTGGGGCTACTTGAGAGCTGGGAGCAAGCCTGGCCCTGCAAACACCTCCAATCGTAGCCTCTTGACCTGCGGGACAATATGTTTCTGTTGTTCCGAGCCAGCGAGTTTCGGATGCTTTGCTAAATGACACTGAGAAACAATTGTGGTGTGCAATCATTCCAAGTTTTTTGCAAAAACCAAGTGGGTCACCATGATGGCTTGTACGTCCTGTTCGCAGCCTCCACTAGAGAAGACAAAGGTTTGGGTCCCTGGTCGTATATCCCCAATCCACAGCTGGAGGAGGGGACAACAATACGCTGAGCGGTGGGACCCCCATATCCAGGGGGTCACAGCCAACTCTGAGGAAGGGGGGTCTGGGCCTCTGCCAGGGGAACCACTGCTCTTGTCTCTTGGCTCTCGGTGCAAACTGCCTGACCTCTGGAAGCTCGGTGACCTTGACCATGTGATGAGTTACAGAATCCCTACCCACTATGGGCTCGAGACATAGTACTCCGAGAAGTGAGCTTGTTTCTTGGGGGATGGGGGCTCCCCTCTCAAGGCCACAACCCTGGGACACTACTAAGCACAAACCGAGCCCTGACACCAGTTGCGGCTTCCAGAGAAATGAGGATGATAATAAATAAGTGTAAAAAGAGTTAACAACACACCCTTTAAGCCAAGAAAAAAAAAAATACATCAGGTGGGACGGTCACAACTGAGCAGACCGAGAGGAGGAGGAGGGACTGGACCAAGTGGGGGCCGGGAGGGAGAGGGGGGCACAAGGAGTGAGGGGCTCCCTTCCCAGCCCGTGCCCCCCGCAGATGGGGAGGGACAGGATAGGCTGTGTGGCAGCCGCTGGCGAACGCCTCCTTCCTGGCTGGAGCAGCCACTCCCCCTGTGCCCGAGCCCAGCCCATGCTGCGTGGCCATGCGGACGGCAGGCACCTAGCGGGACAGCGGGGTCTGCTTCAGGGACATAAGCACCGAGCGCAGGCGGGACACGTCCTTGCACTGCTTGCTGCTCTTGGGGTTGAAATCGCACAGCTGGGCCACCTTCTCCCACTCTGTGCCTGGGGTCTCTTCCTTGGATTCCTTCACAAAAGCCTCCTCAGACGCCCTGCGGGTGGAGAGAAGGCAGAGGTGTCACAGCTGTCCACTCTTCTCCCCCAAGCCTGTGCTTGCTGAGCCCGAGACTGCTTTTTCCTAGCCTACTCCGGGCTCTACCTTGTCCAGACAAGTCCCCGTCCACAGCCCTGTGCCCTGCTGTCCCCTCTTCCCGGAATCCTTCTCTCTGACCCCTGCTCAGGACTTGCCATTTCCTGATTCCCAGTACAGCCCTCACTCCCTCAGGAAGGTGTTTCCTGCCCGGGCACTCACTCCCCGATCATTGCCCCAATCTAAGGAATTCCCAAAGGCCCTCGGAAGAAACCACAGTAGCACCTCAATGGAAATTCCACCAACAGGATGAAGAGTAAGTCTGGCCAAGGCTCGAGCGTGCCACATGCACTGGGAACCTCCAAAGTGAAGCGCGTGTGGCAGGTGCGTCCACCTCCTCACCTCTGTGACCGCCCGGCCCTGCCAGCCTGGAATGACCCAACCGTCCCCTATGGAGTGCCTGCCTGGGCACTGCTCTGCTGGGGGATTTGCTCTCAGATTTGGCTAGGAAGTCACAAGAGCCACTGAGTGAGGGGCAGGGAGGGCACATAGTGTGGCAGACCCAGCTAAGCAAACAGAGGTCATTCAGAAAAAGACACTGGAAGACTCGCAGGTGAGGGAAGCTGGATGTAGTCCATGTTTGGCCACAAGGATTTCTGGAAAGCCCCTTTGCTGCTTGAAGTCACCCCCGGTGTGGGAAGCAAGACCAGGTATGGCTCACAGCTGGCAGCTCTCCAGGTGGTCTCCCACGGCCCAGGACTGGGTGATGGGGCCTCTTCCTCGCCATCCCACAGCGCGAACCTTCCCTAGCGTGTAAACTGCAGCCCCAGCCTCACCCTCCGGAGAACCCAACGAGGCAGCAAGGCTGTGCCGACCAGAGGGGGCAGGGTGACTGCTGGGGAGGGCAGCTGCCCCAGGAAACACTCCTGGGGCCCACAGCCCTGCCCTGGAGCTTGGAATGTGGAACCTTGGCAGGGGCTCGTTTCAGTCCCCCAGATCATAAGCTGCATTTGCACAAGATCTGCATCCAGGGGTCCGAGGAGCCCTTCTCTCCACAGGCTCTCTTGGATGCTGTGTGGGCTATTCATACTCCGCAGGAGCACCAATCCTCTGTGCAGGTTCCCTCTCCCCAGCTTAGCCTGGTACATCAGGTGCCTTGCACCTCTCCATTAGTCCCAGCCCCCACAGGGCTCCACTGCCATTGTAGGGCTGGCTTTGCTTCCTGTCTCCCAGCTAGACACCCTTCTCCTCCCTCCACTCTCCCCACCCAGGCAACTTGGCACACTTGAGGGCCCCAACGGAAGGTCTGCCTAGCCCTGCACACACCCCAGTTGCCCTAACATGCGGGTGTCTCCCTGAGCCCCAGAATTCTGCTATGCAGCCAGAACAGCACACTGCAGACCAGGAAGCAACTTGTGAGGGTGGCCTGTGTGTGCGCTTGGCCCAGACTGCACCAGGGCCAGCCAAGGGCACACCCAGCCATGTCAGGAGCCACGAGTCCCGGGCACACACACATGTGGCCAGCCTACTGTAGCTTGCCCTTTGCCCTGCCCCCTTGGTACTGTCCCCACCCTGCAAGGTTGTGCTTCAGTAAAATGGCGACTGGCTGTGGGCACCGAGGCAGCGTCGGATACCCGCATCAGCCCCAGAGCTCATCATTGTCCCAGGTCTGGACACTCTACAAGCAGGGTGACTGAAGAAGAATCTCATGCCAGTCACCAGCAGTGGCCTTGGCAGCGGTCCACACCCACTCTGCTGCACCCCACCCAGGAGCTGCAGAGGCACCTACACGTAGCCAATGACGTCAGCATCCGGCTGCTGGTAGAATGCTTTGTCGGCGATCCTTGAGGGAAGAGGTTAGGGGAAGGTCAGAGAGAACGGCCCACAGGGACAGGCAGGCAGGCAGAGGGTTAAAGAGAGAGACAGCGTTAGTACCGACAGCAGGCACAGGTGTTAGGAAGCACGGCTCCGGCCCAGACTGCTGTGACCACAATGGCTTTTCCACAGCTCAGCCCTAAGCCTGTGGATGCCTCCTGCTCCAGTCCCCACCAGACCCTGTCATCCAATGCCCTCCCAAAAGGGTCCCCGCCGCCCCCCAAGTCACCACATCCTGTCTGTGGTGCCATGCTGTTGCCAGGTCTAGAACACCGGCCCGTAGCTCCCGATGAACTCCTAGGCACACTCCAAAGCCCTAGGCCCCGGAGCCTGAGATCCTGCCTCCAGGGGTTCTGGTTTCCTCTGCTTGGTGGCCATCCCACAGAAGGTCCTCCTACATGCCAGGTGAGCTGTCCATGCCTGGCTCTCCCCCTCTGAACTCTGTGAGCACACACCTCCTGGTGGCCTGTGTGTCCCCATAATGAGCTGCACACCTGTCATGCATATGGCGGTTTCATGAACACAGTGAGGCAGCTCCCTAGAACGAGGCTTTCCCTTCCTGGAGGGACCCAGCCTCATAGGCAGTGTGAGCCTGAGGGTATCCCCAGGGTGCTCACAGCACCCAAAACCCCTTCCCCTAGGAAGGGCACCTGTTGTCCTCAGGCAGGATCAGGCAGCCCCCACTGTGATTTGGACAGAACTGATCCCTTAGCCAAAGAATGGAATTATCATCCACATGTGGCCTGTTGGAGCATCCTCTGTGCCTGGGAGCTGCTACTGGTCTGAGTCAGGTGCAAGGATCTGAGCAGGAGTTCTCTGAAGCCAGGTTCAGTTGTCCCCTAGGGCCTTCCGACAGAAGCCTGGAACTGCTGGAGGCTGTCTTTGTCCCCCTTTCCTGCCAATACCCAGGTGTGTGCCCAAAACGGAAGCCAAAACAAACAGAAGTAGTCAGAGAGCCAGCAAGAGTGGGTGTGTATTGAACTTGAACCCCTGCAGCCATTGTGCCTGCCGACCATCCCCTGCGTGTCCAGTTACATCGGCCACTAATTCCCTCTTCTCCTTTAGCTGCTCTGGGCTGAGGACACAGAAGACGGGGGACTGTTGGCTGCTGAGCCCCCCAGTAGACAGGTCCTTTTCTGCTCCTGGGGGACCCACATGTCCCCATGCAGGGCTCATCCAAGGGCCGGCTGAACTGTACAGGAAATGGGGGAAGCTGCCCTGGAGCTGCCCTCCTCGCCCTCTGCTCTGGCCACCAAATCCATCCCCCCCCCCCCGCCCCCAGGACAGACATCCCAGGGCTCCCCTCATGCCCCCATCCCGCCCTCATGTGACCCGAGCCATCCCTGTCCTTGTAGCTTCTCCACATCCCCACCACCCCTTCAGGTCTCCCTCAAGTGCCAAGAGCTCCCCTGATGTCCCCATGGTCCCCTGGCATGCCCGCAGCTCCCTGGTGTCCCTGAGACCCACGCATCTCCCCAGCTGCACCCTGGCCCCTCACCGGTTGTTGATCTTGTTCTTCTCCACTTGTTCGCTCTGGCGCTGGTTCCACTCTTCCAGGTCCTTCTTGGCCTTCTCCCGCCACTCCTGTTCTGTCACCTTGGAGGCGGCATCTGCCGGAGAAGGAGTAGCAGGTCATCCAGCTGCCCCGGCTGCCGCTCCCCACACCCCTCGCAGGCATCCACAGGACCCTGACACTCTGCCAGCTCCCACATTGAGACCCCAGGCAGTCCCCTGCCCTCCACCCCCCGCACCCCAGCCCACCCTGGCCCAGCTCATTCCTCACCCAGCTCGTTCCTCACCCAGCTCGTTCCTTACCCAGCTCTTGCAGCCGTTTCTTCTGCTCCTCCCTCCACTTGCGAATGCTCTCAGGCTCCTGAGTCAGCCTGTCGGCCTGGGCGATGGCAGCATAGCCGTCGGCAGGCCCATTAGCCTCCTAGGACACAAACACACAGCTGTGTCCAGCTCTGCACAGCTGCCCACTGTCTCTGCACAGCCCACTACCAACCCCGGGCATTCAAGTGCTTCTCTGGACAGCTCGACATCCACAAAAGCCTCAGACCCACTGTCCCTCGCCTTTGCACTTGCTACTCTCTGCCAGCAACACTCTGGCCCCTGCGTGATCGTGGGCAAGCTGCTTGCCCTCTCTGTGCCTGAGCCTCGTGCCCAGCCCAGCCACACAGTCATCCCTCCCCCTCTCGCCACCCCTTCCTCATCCCCACCTGCCCCTGCCCAAGCAGGAGTCTCGGAAAACCACACAGCAGACACTACCTTCATAATACAATGGATTAAATAATAGCCCCCGACACACAGACAGCATCGGAGTGAGATGAATTTTAAAAATAGAAGGGACCCAATGTGATGGTTCAGTTGTCTAATCATCCCCCTACACGTGCCAGGATCCCACATGGGAACTGATTCTTCTCCCCTGCCACTATACTTCCCATCCAGGGTCCTGCCTGGGCCTGGGAAAGCATCAGAGGATGGCCCAAAGCCTTGGGATCCTGTAATCAGGAGCTCCTGGTTCCAGCTCAGCTCTGGCCATCGCGGCCACTTGAGGGGTAAACCAGCGAATGGAAGATCTTTGTCTCTGTTTCTCTCTCAGATATACAGAGAGGAAGAGAGACAGAGAGGAAGATCTTCCATCCGATGATTCCCCCCCAAGTGACCGCAACGGCTGGAGCTGCACAGATCTGAAGCCAGGAGCCAGGAACTTCTTCCGGGTCTCCCACGTGGGTGCAGGGTCCCAAAGCTTTGGGCCGTCCTCGACTGCTTTCCCAGGCCACAAGCAGGGAGCTGGATGGGAAGCAGGGCTGCCAGGATTAGAACCGGTGCCCATATGGGATGCCGGGCATGCAAGGCAAGGACTTTAACCACTACACTATTGTGGCAGGCCCAAAACAAATCCTAAAAAAAAAAAAACAAAAATTTTTTTAAATCTTCAAAAAGAACTTGGCCCATGCCGGTAACTGGTGGGCTTAGGTGCTACAAAATATGTCTGAGACCTGGAGCCAGACTTAACCCTGTCCAACCTGTTTTCTCATCTGATAATCAGAGGAAGACAACCTTCATGATTTTATGCAACATTTTTGTTTTGTTTTGTTTCAGTTTTTTTTTCCTGGCACAGAGTCATGGCTCAATGAATGGCCACTAGAATAATAATAGTTATAGTTACTCACCCTCATTTTACAGGGGAGAAAGCTGAGGCCAGGGGAGGCAGGTTAAAGTAGTAGTGTGGCAGAGCCAGCACCCAGGCCTCAAAGCTTGTAGGCTGCCCCAGTCTCCCACTGCTTTCCAGAGATGGGGACACAAAGCCTAGGGGACCGTGGACTCAGTCGAGCTAGGACAGGTCGCCCCGGAAACAGCATTCCTTTCCAAAGGTCAGAGTCCTAGGTTCCAGCACACACGCCCTGGCTCCATCACAGCCCACATTCCTGTCTGCACGCATCCTACACACTCACTCGGGGCTGTGTCTGCTGACGTGTTCAGCCGCACTCATTGAGCTGCAGGGGCACCAGTCGGGGGCTGTGTCCCAGCGGCCAAGCACGGGCCAGGCCCCTTCCTCTCCACACTTTGCTGAAGTGGTCAGCCTTTCCCAGTTTCTATTCTTCTGAGTTTTCTAGGCTGGCCCAGGGACTCCTGGTGGCAAAGGCTGCCACGTCCTCTGCCCTTAGCTCACAGCAGGTATTTAATTAGCAACAGCAGATTCAGTGGAAACCTGCAGAGGCAGCAGGTGCTGGCTCCGAGGGGGAACTCCAGAGTGTTTGTCCAAGGGGTGTGTCCAGGGCGCAGGGACACAGGGAGCGTTGGGTTCTGTCCCTACAGTCTGGGGAGCCAGGGAAGGGCGAGGGCCCTGGGCAGAGAGCCTCTGATTAGGCCCAGCCCTTGGGTGAGACACTGGAACACACCCTCACTCTTTCTTACACATCAGGACGTCCCCAGAAGATCCCTGGGAGCTTCTCACAAGTTGCGTTGAGCAGGACTTACACCTACCTCCTTCCCATCTGGCCCCCTGGGGCATCTCTCCAGGGGCCCTTCCTCTATAGCAACCTCACAGTGACTCTGTGTGTGTGTGTGGGGGGGAGTTGTTTCCAGTGCAGTCTTCTACGGGCTCCTCAGGACCCCCTTGCAGGAAAGCCACCCACCAAGAGATCAGAAAGTCGAAATGAAGAGATTAATAAAATGCACCTGCCTGCCAGCCTGACATTCCAGTTGCTACGCCTTGAGCCAACAACAGGCCAGAAGGTGCTCCCTGCTGTAGGGGGTGCTCCCTGCTGTAGGGGGTGCTCCCTGCTGTATGCAGGTCTGACGGCATCTCCAGCTTCCCTTGCTCCTTCCCTCCCCGGCTCACTGCCCTCCTAGTCTCACCACCTCCGGCCCCTCTTCCTTCCCAGCTCACATTCCACCTAGCAGCATCGGCTCAGACAGGAGGCTGCGCTGCTGGAATCATTTCCTCTCTTCTTCCCATCCAGGCCCTGCTGCCTCTGTCCAGCAGCCACCTGCTGTGTGTCACCTGCCACCCCCTTCCCGGACACAATGCCACAGCCCTTGGCACATCACATCAGGACAAGCCCAAGCATGTCCACGGGCCTTCCATTGCAACTGCATGAAAACTCAGGGCTCCTGCCTGTCCAGCAGGGTCTCTGGAATCTTCACCCCGTTTTCCTCAGGGTCTGGACAAGGAGGGTCTGGGGCAGGAGCCCAGGGGCATTCAGGAATGTTGACTGAATGATGTCAGAGATGGCAGGCTTGGGGAGGGGCAGAACAGCCTATCCTCTGGGAACTTGGGGGAGGGCATCCTTCCCAAGCAGAGACTGTGGCTGGAGACATAGCACAGGCCAGCGTGAGAGAGGGACAAGGGACAGCATGATCACTCAGGCTTGGGCACAGAGAGCACAGCAGGTGGCAAGGGAGAGCGGTGCAAGGACAAGGAGCATTTGGTCAAGAGGCGGCATGCGCAGTGGGGCACGCGGGCTTGTACCTTTGGGAAAGTTTTGAATGGGTGCACGGACACCACAGCTTTGCGAGGCAATGAGGTGATTCAGGGGCACTGAGGAAGGGGCCCCCACAAAGCCTACCCTAAACTTAGACAACCCCGGAGAACTAGCACGGCAACAGCTGGCTTTGATCTTTATATCACCAAGTGGCAGGTTTTTATTATTCTCGGTTTACAGGGAGTGGGACTCTAGCCCTGAAGTGCAAAGGTCACCCACCCTAGGAAGTGGCGGAGCCAGGATTCAAATGGAATTTACTGGGTGGAAACAACTCGTCCCCGAGGACCTGGGGACCAAAGTCACAGCTGTATCTAGGGATTCAGGGGCCTCCTGTGTGTACCCCTCTTGCCACGGTCTCCCTCTTGTCCACACTGTGGCTAGGTCAAGGTTAACAAGAAATTCAGGGAGCTATAAATCTCTTTTCCCAACAGCCCAGAGGGGCCAGGAGGTAAGGCCTCCAATTTCCAGTCAGCAAAGCAGAAGCCTACGGCTCAGGGTGGCTGCGTGACAGGTTCAAGAGCCCAGCCCGGTTAGAAGACCCAGAAGAGGAAACCCAGGCCTTCTGCCTCCAGCCAGGCTTCCCCTGCAGCCTGGACACAGGGCCGCTCTCCCCTGGAGCAGCTGCCCTGAGCATCTGGAGTTCTGGCGGCCCCACGCCAGGCTCGGGGTGCAGATCCTGCGCCTTCTACCACGTGCGCCCTACATGCTCTGTCTGCAGACACACAGGGCTTCCCGCCCACCCCGCAGGCACCAGCTCTGGCAGCTTCAGCCCCTCCAGTCTGACACTGCCACAACCCTATGGGCAGCAGGTCCCAGCTGTGGGTGAGCCCCAGAGGAGCGTCCTGCTCTCCGTGCCTCTCTCTGCACATGCGGTGCCCTCAGCCAGTACCACTCAGTTTGCCCTGAGCAGACTCCAGAACCACTTCCTGAAGCCTCTCCCCGAATCCACACATACCCCAAGCATCCACTTTTGGATTCAAGTCGTGAGCAAGCTTTTAAACAGGCAAAACTGCGGCCAGAGTGTTGGCTCATCAGGCTAATCCACTGCCTGCAGTACCAGCATCTCATTGGGTGCTGGTTCTAGTCCTGGCTGCTCCACTTCCAGTCCAGCTCCCTGCCTGTGACTCTGGAAGAGCAGTGGAGGATGGCCCAAACTTGGGTCCCTATACCCACGCGAGAGACTTAGGAGAAGCTCCTGGCTTCAGATCAGCCCAATTCTGGCAGTTGTGGCCATCTGAAGAATGAACCAGCAGATGGAAGATGTCTCTCTCTCCCCTGCTCTCTGTCAAATATTTCAAATAAAATTAAATCTTAAAAAAAAAAAAAATAGAATGACAGAAGCTACCCCATGTGGTGTCAGGGGATTAAAGGCAGTAATTCCCTCTGTAAAGCTCTTGGGTGATGCGAGACACATGGGAAGAACTCAGACCATCAACTCTAACTGCTGTGCCGACCTCTAAACGCTTTGCCTCACCGGAAGTAGCCTCCTGGAGGACAGCCACTCCGCCGCCCTGAGCACAGTGTCTGGCCCTTGGGCATAGGGAGAACTATGGCTGAGCGGCTGATGACAGAGGATAAGAAAAACGCAGTGAAAAACGCAGTGTGAGCACCAGACTCAGCAGGAGGCCCTGGATGTGTTTCTGACTTGCAGGTAGGGAACACCTTGTGGCCCAGAACTGGGCGGGGAAGGCCAGGCACAGGGGTGGATTTCCTGGCTCGCCTCCCCTTGGCTGCTCTAGGCTCAGCACCCTTCCCCCGGCCCCACCCGTCCTGGTAGCAGCGCCAGGGTTATCTGTGATCCCAGTCCTGGGGGAGAAGAGGGAAGGTCCCAGACCACGCTCCCAAGAGGGAAGGGTTTAGGAGCGGGTGGTACCAGGAGGCAGGATGCCACAGCCACAGCTCTCCCTGGCACTCCTGTCCTGAAGGGCCCCTCTGCCAGGGACTACCATGCGATCATGGGCTAAGCCGGTTGTGCGTGTGCCAACTCCAAGAGGACAAGGCCTATCCGTCTTTGGGGCTGAGCGGCTAAGGCTAAACCGAGCTGAACTGTTGATCCCTTTAAGTGGCTCAAAGGGGATGATGGGAGCATGGCAGGGGAAGGAAGAGAGGGAAGCTGTGTGGGGCAGAACGAGGGAGCGGAGAAAGTCCGGCAGGTCTTCTGTGCCTGCCCCTGGCAGTGCCAAGAGGGCCTAGACTACATGGGCTTCCCTGGAATGCTCAGGTGTGTAAGCGGACACACACACACACATCCCGCAGCGGCCTGTATGCTGTGGCAAAGAGTAGAAAGTAGACTGTGGGGGCTGGTGGAATGGTGCTCCAGGTTGAGTTGCCACCTGCAATGCTGGCATCCCACGTGGATGCCAGTTCAAGTCCTGGCTGGTCCACTTCCAATCCAGCTCCCTGCTAATGTGCCTGGGAAAGGAGGAGAGGTCAGACCAAGTGCTTCCCTATGGTAGCAAATGCAAATAAAATCCTAGCTTCCTGCTTCACCCAGGCCACTGTGGCCCTTTGGAGAGTGAACCAACAAATAGATCTTTCTCTCTCTCTCTGTAACTCTGCTTGTCAAATAAACAAATAAATCAGGGGGACAGGAAGGGGAGAATGGGGAGAAAGATGAAGAACAAGGCAGGAAGGAAAGACAGAAGCAGCAGTCCATGGAAGCCCCGCCCAGGCCCTGGAAAGCCTTCGGGGCCCACAGCCAAGGCTGCTCCTCCCCTACCCCACCTCTCCACCCCCGTGCAAGCTCGGGGCAGAGCCTGCCTTACTCAGTCCTGAGACAGACTGCCAGGCTTTCCGCCCACACCCAGCCACCGCTGCAGTAGGTCGGAGGAAGCTCCAAGCGCGGCTGGGATTAAGGGACCTAGGAACAGAGCAGGGAGGTAAGCAGGGGCTTCACCGCCAAGCTCCTGAGGGAGCCCTCCTCACGTGGAAGGGGCACCAGCAAGAGCTGATGTACAAATAAGCGTGGCTGGGGCTGTCATTCACAGTGACGACTAACAACTGCCAATGTTGGGGGGCCGGCACCATGGCATAGCTCGCTATGCCTCAGTCTGCACCACCAGCATCCCATCTGGGCAGCTGCTCTACTTCTGACCCAGCTCCCTGCTGCATGGAAAATGGTCCGGAAAAGCAGTGGAGGATGGGCCAAGCAGTTGAGCCCCTGCATCCACGGGGTGGCCTGGAAGAAGCTCCTGACTTTGGTCTGGCTTAGCTCCCAACATTTGGGGAGTGAACCAGCAGAGACTTCTCCGTGTCATGTCTCTCCTTCTCTCTCTGCAACTCTCTTTTATTTTTTATTTATTTTTTATTGGAAAGTCAGGTGTACAGAGTGAAGGAGAGACAGAAAGATCCTCAATCTGCTGGTTTACTAACCAAGTAGTCACAACAGCCAGGGCTACGCCAAGCCGAAGCCAGGAGCCAGGAGCATCCTCTGGGTCTCCCATGTGGTTACAGGGTCCCAAGGCTTAGGGCCATCCTCTACTGCTTTCCCAGGCCACAAGCAGGGAGCTGGATGAGTAGTGGGGCTGCTGGGATTAGAACTGGCACCCATATGGGATCCAAGCATGCAAGGCAAGGACTGTAGCTACTAGGTTATCATGCCGGACCCAAAACATTATTTTTATTGAAAAGGCAGATTTACAGAGAGAAGCTGCTTGCAGGTGGAGGATCAGCCAATTGAGACATCATACCAACCTCATAAATTTTTCTTTCAAATAAAAAATAAATAAATTGGGATCCCATATGGGCACCAGTTCTAATCCCAGCAGCTCCACTTCCCGTCCAGCTCCCTCCTTGTGGCCTGGGAAAGCAGTCGAGGACGGCCCAAAGCCTTGGGACCCTGCACCTGCGTGGGAGACCTGGAAGAGCTCCTCGCTTCTGGCTTCAGATCGGTGCAGCTCTGGCCATTGCAGCCACTTTGGGAGTGAATCAGTGGATGGAAGATCTTCCTCTCTGTTTCTACTCCTCTCTGTATATCTGTCTTTGCAATAAAAATAAATAAATCTTTAAAAAATAAATAAATCTTTTTTAAAAATTCCAATGTTGGGATAAAAACCCAGATTTTCCCAGATGTTCCAGATGCCAGGCGGAGCTGCAGGGTTGGGATGAGGAGGGAGAAGGCAGGGGGCTAATCACCCAGAGAAAAACAGGCCCATGTGCCCTGGGGCTTGGCAGGAGCCGCCTGCCTAGAATGTTCTAGATGCTTCTGTGGCCCAGGTATCCCTGAAGCTTCAGGACCATGCTGGGATCCCCAGGGCCCAAGGCTTGACAGGCCTGGCAGGAAGAGAGCTGCAGGCTCAGACCAGGAGCAAACACTCCCTCTTTAAGGCTGTCAGGCTCAGCTAGACAGGAAGCGGCCAAAGTCCTAGAGACAGGCTTTTCCAGCTTGCTGACGGTTGAGTAATTTTCCAGAACCAGGAATTGGCCAATTTCCCTACATAAAGTACCAACCCATCCAGCTTACATAATCAAGCATTGTTTGTTCTCCCCAGGGGGATGCAGGAGGCTGGAGGCTCCTGCCCCATCACACATCCACAGGGACCAAGGTTCGTGACTCATCCAGGAGTGGCCCTGCCCGACCCAGGCAAGAGCCAGGCACAGCAGGCAAGACCTGAACCAGCGGGGGTCCCAGGCATGCGCAGTAGGTACAGCCAGAATGCTGTCAGCCTAAGCTCTCTTACATTGGTTGGTGCCTAACAGGAGAGCCACCTCCCCAGCCGGTGTAGAGGGCCTCTGCAGCATGTGGTGGAGTAGTTACGCCACTGCCCACAACAACCCAGCTCCCTGCTACCGTGCTTGGGCGAGCAACGAAGGACGGCCCAAGTGCCTGGGTCCCTGCCGCCCAAGTGGAAGACCCAGATGAAGTTCCAGACTCCTGGCTTCCCAGTTTGGCCCAACCTAGGCTGTTGCGGTTACTAGGGGAGTGAACTAGCAGATAGAAGCTTTTGACTCTTTCTCTGTCCTTCTCTCTCTGCAACTCTGCCTTTCAAGGAAATAAGGAAATAAGGGCAGAAGCAGTGGCATAGCAAGCTAATCCTCCACCTGTGGCACCAGCATCTCCTATAGGCGTCAGTTCTGATCCCGGCTGCTCCACTTTCAATCGTTCTTTCTAACGGTCTGGGAAAGCAGCCAAGGATGGCCCACGGACTTGGGTCCCTGCATCAATGTGGGAGACCTGGAAGATGCTACAAACCTGCCCAACCCTGGCCACTGCAGTCATTTGGGAGTAAGCCAGCAAATGGACTCTCTCTCTGCCTCAGTGTAATGCTGACTTGCATGTAAAATAAATAATTTTTTTAACGATTTATTTATTTTTATTGCAAAGTCAGATATACAGAGAGGAAGAGAGACAGAGAGGAAGATCCTCCGTCCATTGATTCACTCCCCAAACAGCCACAATGGCCAGAAATGTGTTGATCCAAAGCCAGGAACTTCCTCCAGGTCTCCCACATGGGTGCAGGGTCCCAAAGCCTAGGGTTGCCCTCGACTGCTTTCCTAAGCCACAGGCAGGGAGCTGGATGGGAAGCAGGGCTGCAGGGATTAGAACTAACACCCATATGGGATCCTGGTGCGTTCAAGGCGGGGACTTTAGCTGTTAGGCCACTGCGCCGGGCCCAATAATTTTTAAAAAAACTACACAAACAGGGGCCAGTGCAACGACTAAACTGGCTCATCCTCCACCTCCAAGCACCAGCATCCCGTATTGGCACTGGTTCGTGTCCCAACAACTTTTCTTCCAATCCAGCTCCTTATTTATGGTCTGGGAAAGCAGTGACGGACAGCCCAAAGCCTTGGGACCCTGCACCCATGTGGGAGACCCGGAAGAAGGGGAGTGAATCAGTGGACAGAAGATCTTCCTTTCTGTCTCTCCTCTTCTCTGTGAAAAGAAAAAAAAAAATCTACCTTTCCAATAAAAACAAACCTTAAAAAAAAAAAGCCACACAAAGAAATAAGTAGATCTTTGACACAAAAGGAATATTTTTTTCATCCAGTGACAATCCTTTGCCTAGCCCCACCCCTGCCCCCTCCTACATTGTCTAGGCTCACCATTGTCAGCAGCTGGTACACACTCTCTCAGATGTGCGAACCTATTTTTAAAATGAAAAACACAACCATACTGTGCACATTATTCCACAAGCTGTTTTCCCACTTGCTGTGTGGTGGGCATCCTTGCACGGCCATGCCAGAAGCTCTAGTCACCCTTTGTAACCATGATGTCCAATCCAGCTACCCGGCCCAGGGAAGTGGCATACTTAGGTCACTTCTACTTGTCTTCTGTTGAAAACATGCTGCAGGCAATCTGGGTGTCCTTGTCCAGTTTCTTCCTTAAGGAGCATTCTCAGAAATACAACCTCTGGACCAAAGGGCCTGCCCAGTTAATGAGCTCGCACCTGCTGGAGATGGCTGTTCAGTTCGCTCTCCAGGCCATGGAGCATGCTCAGACAGGGTCCTGTCCTTCCTCGCATTCCATCCTACTGTGGGCCACTTCATCTCTCAGAAAGCTGGGCAACGTGAAGCCTCTCCCCATTCCCCTACATTCCTAGTGATCCTTCTCCCTCTTCGCTGCCTCCTCCAGGACAAGAAAAGATGCTAAAGCTCTCTCTCAGTCCTGGTCTCAATGCATCAGACACAGCGGAACCGCCCCTCTTGCTGGTGGGGACACAGGCTCAGTCCCCCCCAGGGCTCTGCCTCCCAGTTCTTACTTACCTGAAACACATCGCCGTTGACTGTGGCTCCCATGTCCTCAGGACCAGCTAGGAGAACAGGAGACAGTGTAATGAATGGTTCAGTTTGACGCAATCATGGGATGGCTGCAGCCCAGCCTCTGTACAAAGGAATTTCAAAAAGATCGCGGACAAGGGCATGAAAAGATACGTTTGTTTGGCTGCCACCAAGTTTGTTCTCCAGGAGGCGTTTTTCCAAAAACACATTTTCCACCAACTTTTTGAAGAGCCCCATTTTCCCTTCCCTTTTGCACCCATCTGTTGCCCCTCCCCCAACAGAGACATCCTGGGTGCATGAATTTGAGCCCAGTCCTTTACTGTCCACAGGCCGCTCGCAACCCTTAGCACACTTGGATTTTTCATCGCAGCCCCAGGAGGAAGTTGGTAGGAACCCATTTTATGCCTTCTCAAGCTGAGGTTCAGAGTGGGGACTTGGCTGCCCAAGGCCCTCCCCCGAGTGGTGACAGATCTTCACCTCTGGAAATTAACTGGCCTCACAGGGCTGCAGCTGGGAATCGCTGAATTCTCCGCAGAGCCTGTGACTGGGGTGCAGGCTTAGAGCAGGGGTTAGAGTGAGAGGAGCCCTAACGCCTCCAGCTGTCCCGGGGCCACCCTGGCGTGACTACTCCACCTGGGAGAGCAGGAATCAGTCGCCCCGCCCCCTCCACACACAGCAACTGCCCTACTTTCCTCTTTGTGTTCCTCCCATCACTGTTTTCTCCTACCTGTAACACTGGCTCCTCCTGCCCCCCTTTCCTGACACCTGCGACTCCAGCTGCCATAGTGACTCTCCAAGTTGCCCTCCACTCTCCCTGCTGCCCAGTCCCTACCCCGGCCCCACCAGCTCTGTCCGTCCACCATGGCACCTGTGATGCGGCGAGAGCTCAATAACCACTTGTGGAACAAGTAAATGATTATGAGCGGCTGATGCAGTGGCTTACAGGCTAATCCTCTGCCTGCGGCACTGGCATCCCACATGGACACCAGTTTGAGTCCTGGCTGCTCCATTTCCAGTTCAGCTCCCTGCCGATGGCCTGGGAGAGACCAAAAGAGGATGGTTCAAGTCCTTGGGTCCCTGCTCCTAGTTGGGAAACTCAGAGGAAGGTCCTAGCTCCTGGCTTTGGATTAGCTCAGCTCTGGCCATTGTGGTCACTGAGGGAGTGAAACAGACCCATTCACCTCCTCTTCCTTGCCCTAATTCATCCTCTTTCAGATCAGGGTTAACATTTTGCCCAACGTACACTTACCTTTGTGACTCTTTGATTAAAAGCATAACAAAAACACAGCAAAAAGAAGCCCACTGCTCGGGACCACTCTGGCCTCCAGGCTGGTCCTGCCTTGGACACCTGGCAGGTGCCCATGCTCTCTCACTCACTCCAGCCTCTGCCCAAACCAGGCTTTGTTGGAGGCTTCCCCACCCTGACCCCATCCATCAGTCCACACCCCAGTTCACGTTCTCCCCTAATGGTCCTCCCTCGGCCGCACCTGCTACAGCCTCATCTGTTTCCTTGGGCACTGGCTGGTTGTCTGTCCTCCCCACCTGAACGGGCCCTCCGAGACAAAAGGGACTTGGTTTCATCCACAGGGAGGCTCAGCACTGGCAGAGCTGTGCCAGGCACATATCAGGAACTGCCAGGTGAGTGTGCCCAGGCTGGAGGGCGGAACCTAAGCCTCTGGCCCAGCCTACTTGACCTGACTCACTTCCGCCAGTCTCTCCCACAAACCCTAGATTCCCTCTTCCTCCTTCCCCAAACTCAGCCCTCTCTATTCCCTGCAGTCCCCACCCTGCCCTGCCCCATGCCTTGCTTCCCGCTTCCCTCCCTAAAGCACGCTTGGCGGGGCTCATTCTTTGCGGACTGGTTCCCAAGGCGTCTTCCCTGGGTACTGAGCCGGTCGGCAGGGCAGGGAGGTCCCCTAAACGTGGTACAGCAGGCCTCGTGCTGCTGGGCATGTCATCACCTCCCAGCTCCTCCTCCCCACACACAAGGGTCCAGGCATTCCCTTAGCAGGCTTTGCATCCACATCAGTGCCTGTGGATAACTACATGGTAACCACAGCTCTCGGCTTGACAAAACAGAATCGCTCCTTTGGCCCACTCACACCTGTAAGGCCTGGCAGAAACTGCAATGTCTCCTAGCAACAACCCAACCCTCCCCTCTCCTCCACATCACCAGCGGACCACTATCTCGTTCCCCACCAGAGAGGGTTAGCAGCCGCAGCAACAGGGTTTTGCTGCCTGTGGACAGAAGGTAGGGAGACTTCACCTCGGGCACTGACTCCCTCCCTGGTGGATATCAACTAGAACGGACTTTATTTTCCCAGTGGAGCGGGGACTGATGCTGACCCCATAAGACCAGCTGTCACCCCACGCACGCAAACAGCACTTGTTCCACAAAGTGGCCTGGTCCCTAAGTCAGGGTGACATTTCAGTGGTATCCTCAGCAAAGCGATTACTTCTCCCCAGACTTTGCTCCTACCAGAATCCACTCACCATGGTGCTGGTCTGTGCACTTGGCCTTCTGGGCCCAGGTGCACCAGCCACTCCGCCCTGACCACCCCCATCTCAGGTGCTGCTCCAGGCTCAGCCTTGCCTGGGGGTAAAGCTCTACCCCAGTCTGCCCTGGTATCTTGTTGCTCCAGAGACAAGGTGTTGGCCTTGTGGGGAGCCCCCCCGTCACTCACACACAGCGTTAGAGTGAGTTCCCATAGGGCTATGTGATCGGTCTACTGCCGTGTCTGTACTCGAATGTCCACATTTGGAGACCCACAGTGCCAGAGAGTGGCAGATACAGGTCCTGGGGATAAACTCCTGGGTGTGCTGTTTTTCCCAGATGCCTGACCCATTTTGGAACAAGGGCAGAGAAGGACCAGAACATTCCTGCAAGCTTACCCAGGCCCAGCAGGGAAAACGAGCTTGCCCAGAAATGATTAGCATGTCATGGCCAGACATGGTGCTCAACAACAGCAACAAAAAAAGAGTGTGAAAGTGTAAACCTCCTGGGACCTCCCCAAGCAGATGAATGGAAACACAGTGTTTCCATTTCCAGGCCAACTACAGATACAGCCTGGCAAGGCCTGCTCAGAAACACCTCTGTCCTTGGGGTCTCCTGGAAGCCCAACATCTGAGCGGTTGGCACAGACATGCAACCCCCATGGGCTAAGGGAAGGCAGCGGCTGCTGGCTGGACCTCGCATTCGTCTAGCTCCCAGGAGGCCCAGGCCCTTCCCTGCCCCACCCAGGTCGCTGGCATCTTCTTGCCTGTTCAGCTGCCCAGGCTAAGGGGTGCCAGATCGGCTCCTCCCCGCCACTGAAGCTGCCCCCTGAGCCGCCACCTACAGCACCTTCCTGCCATCCTCATAGCCGTCACCGCTAAGGAGGGTGGCGGAGCCAGTGCAGCCTCAAGGGAGACCCTGGGGACTGTGTCCCCAGCAGCTCCCTGTCACCTTGGGCCTGGAGCCAATCTGTGTCCCCTGCAAGACCACAACTTGCTCAGCTCCCCCCTACCTCTGGCTGTCTGAATCCCACCTGCCCTTCTCTCTCGGACAACCGCCCCTCCCAACGGGCCCTGCCTGGGCTGAGCCAGAGGAGACGCATGGGTAAATGAATGCTGGCACATGAACGTGGGCAGGTACCTTCTAGAAGAATCTGAGGTGCTGGTAGCTGCTGCCTTAGGACGGCTCCAGATCTGGCGAGGTCAGGGAAGAAATCTCCTGCCTGGGATATCCCGCCATCTCCCGAGGAGGTTGCTACAGCATTTGAAAAACCACAGACCTCAGGGACCAGGCCAGTGGCTTAGCAGGCAAAGCTACTCTGTGTTGCTCTGACATCCTTTCTGGGTGCCAGACCTGGCTGTTCCACTTCCCATCCAGCTCCCTTACTAATGTGCCTGGGAAGGCAGTGGAAGATGCCCCCCACTCCTTGGGCCCCTCCTCCCATGGGGAACACCCAGATGAACCTCCCGGCTTCAGCCTGGCCCAGCTCCAGCCATTTGGAGCGAACCAACAGATGAAAGAGCTCTCCGTCTTTCTCTCCTTCTGTGATTCTGCCTTTCAAATTAATAATGTTTTAAAGAGAGCACAGGAGGTTCAGTATCATGGGCAGAGCTGCCACTCCTGGCTGTGTGGCTGTGCCAGCACAGGCAGGCTCCCAGGACTTTCAGCTTCTTACACGTTGCGTTTCTTATCTCAAGGCGTAGGAGTTGTTTCTAATTCCTGGGTCACAGGAACTGTCTTGTTCTAGATCCCCAGGGTGGAGGGGGAGGCGGAGGGGCCTGGTTCGCACCAGGTGCTCAGCAAACAGCTGAATAACCATGGGCGTCATTGCGAAGAGCTCTGCAAAGACCATGCATGAGAGTACTACAACATGTGAGTAGAAACGTGGACTTTTTGCAAGAAAAAAAAAAAAATCGAAATCCATAAATATGAGGAGTCTTCAAAAAGCTGGTGGAAAATGCAAATAATGACAATGCAATGGGTAAGCTTCAAAATTTTTGCACCTAAAACAAACAAATCTTTCCATTTTTCAACAAACTTTTTGGAAGAGCACTTGTACGGACACGTAAATCAACACCATGGCAGCACTTCCTAAAGTCCTCCAGCGTGGCAGCAGGAGCCGAATCAGCTACGTTTGGGACAGACCCACAAGGATGAAATCTTTCTTACACAGTAATTTGAGAATTTTTTTTTCTTTTCTCAAGCCAGGACATCCTTGGTAAACAAGACGCCACAGGGTCCAGACCCAAAACCCAGAGGGCTGAAGCTGATTCTAGCGGCCCTGGACCACCTCTGGGACAGTGTTAAGTCACCAGGTACTGAGTGCTGAAGGACAGGAATAGGTGGAGGGTGCCTCCCCCTCCCCCACAGCACACACAGACATCGGGGGTTCGGGGTGTACAGTGCCAGGTACGTCCAGGCCAGCGCGGTCAGCTGCAGAGGCCTTGGAGTTCGACAGAAAGACATTGAAATCCTCGACCTGGTAGTAGCTAATCATTTCGGTGAACCTCAGTTTTGCTGGCTGGGAAACGGGCTCCATGCTGCCTATGAAATGACTCCACGGTGACTAACATGTCCAGCTCAAGTGCCTGCAGGGTGGCCTGGAGAGTCCAAATGGTCCTGGCTGTCCCCGGCTTTTCCAGCCATGGGAGGAGGGCTGTGCGGGAGGACCACAAGGTGCCCGTGTTTTGCCCACATCTGCACCTCTCACCGGAGGAGCAGGGCCGGTAGAAGGCCGGGGTGGGGGGGGCGGGCACCGGACTGGCATTGAATACCAGCGCCAGGGCCTGATGGCAGGAGCTGGCCTGGGAGGTGACATGCCAAGGCAGTCGGAGGCCGGCAGCCACTAGACTCACAGGCCCCTGGCGGACGAGCGCTCAGCTGCTGCCCGAGTCCTGAGTCCTACCTGGGGGATCTCCAAGAACATTCCTGCCCACTTCCCGCAGGGCCCGCTCGCTACCCACGCAGGCCCACTTCACCCGGCGGCAGGGCCCCTAGGCCCGCCCTGTCCCCTCGGTGTGCCGGTCCCGAGCTGCCGGCACCCCTAGGCCAGGGCGCTGACTCACCCCCACTCGCGGGCGCCGGCGGTGCCGAGGCCCCCTGGCCGGCGGCAGGTGCGGAGAAGCCCTCGTCATTCTCGATGCCCGCGATCTCGCTCTCCTGCTGGGCCAGGAAGGCAGCCGCCGGGTCCTCCTCGGCCGCCTCGGCAGCCCCGCCCTCGGACGACGAGAAGAAGCCGAAATCATCAGCCATCTTCGCCGCTGTCTGCTGCGACCGTGCCTGGCGCTGTCACCCGAGCCGCCGCGGGACCGGCCTCGGCGCGGACGGGTCGGCGCGCCGGCGGCTCGGCCACTTCCTCTCCGCCACCACCGGGCCCAGCGCGCCTCTCACTGCGGCTGCAGGCGCCGCGACGGGAGGAGCCGGGAGCGGGGAATGCGGTGATGTCACCGCGGCCGAGGGAGGGGGCCCGGGACGGCCGGGAGGTCGGCTCGCGGCGGCCACGGGAGGGCGGCAGCAGGACGGCGGCAGGACGGCGCACGGAGCGCTCCCTCGGGCCGCGCGCGCGCCAGGGCGCACGGGGGCCGCGGCCTCGGGGTTCGGCTCCGCTGGGGACTCCGGCCGGGGTCTGCGTTGGGTATCCCGGCACCTGCGCCTGGAGGGGGGCTGGGAGAGGCTGGGTCACCGTCTGACCCCTCGCGGCCGTGGCCTTTCCTGCTAGGTCGCGTGGCTTTGGTGCACTTGCCGTGCGTGGCTCTGCCTCGGGGGAGTCTCCGACTCTGCGCGCGCGGCCCCCTCAGCGCCCCTGAGGTACGAGATGCTTGCCCGCACAGTCACCTTGAACACGACTGGTGTCTGCCCGTGCTCTGCCAGGCACCAGGGCAACAGCACTGAATAAAACATGGCACTTGATAGTGGGACAATGGCAGTGGAGCCAGGTGGACGAACCGCACGCTCAGGTTCTGGGAGACCCAGAGAATCGCCCTTTGGATTTGGTTGGGTTTTTTTCCCCGTTTTTTTGTTTTTTTTTTTTTTAATTTCATTGAAAGACGGAAGGAGGATCAGCTGGTTCACTTTCCATATGTTCCTGTGGGTCTGGGGCAAGTAGCACCCAGGATCAGGAGGAGGCAATCCTATTCCAGGTAGCTGGCAGGGAACCCCAACTGCTTCAGCCATCAGCTGCTGCCTCCGCAGGGTGTGCATTTGGCACGCAGCTGGGGCCAGAGTAGAGCTGGGTCCCGATTTTTTTTTTTTTTTTTTTTTTCTGCTTGCCTTGCCGTGGTGACTTCTTTGGAAGTCACTATACATCGCATAATGTCTCCTTTGGAACCTTGACTTTGCTGTGCGTTGGTAGTCAGCTCTGGGTCTGTATCCGTGGAATCGTTTGTCACACCAGCTGGCGTGCTACTGCCCTCCACTGGGGAGAGAAGCCAGGGACGCCCAATAGCTCACAGTGCACAGGACAACCCCTGATTTAGACAATCCCACCCAGCTTAAGAAGCTCTGATCCAGCAGTTTGATCAGAGTCCACATAGATATCCTTTTTCTCCCATTTTTTAAAAATTATTATGATTTTATGATACAGTTCTATATGCTCTGGAATTTCCCTGGCCCTCCCCCTCCAGTCCTCCCCACACAAATACTGACTTCTATATTATTACAATAGTATGGTTCTTCATAAACGGTCATAAGCTCATCACTGTGGGCGTGGACAATGGCAGAGAGTCCAGCATCCTTTTGTCAAGATATAGTTAACAGTTTGACTGGGAGTCCATCTTTGATTTGTAAGCAGAGATGCATACTGCATTGTATCCTCATATCTGGATATGACAGTCTCCATGACACAGTTACTATACATCGCTTAAATAAAAGGCCACAAAACAAAATCAACAACTGGAAGAAAAATAGGAATTTATAATGCCATGAAGTTAAAGAACATGCTACTGAATGACTAATGTGTTAATAAAGAAATGAAAGTCAAGAAGCTTCTTGGGTCCCAGCACTGTGGCCTAGCAGCTAAAGTCCTCACTTTGAATGCTCCAGGATCCCATATGGGTGCTGGTTCTAATCCCAGCAGCTCCACTTCCCATCCAGCTCCCTGCTTGTGGCCTGGGAAAGCAGTTGAGGACGGCCCAAAGCCTTGGGACCTTGCAACCTCAAGGGAGACCCGGGAGAGCTCTAGACTCCTGGCTTATGATCGGCCCAGCTCAGGCCGTTGCAGTCACTTGAGGAGTGAATCAGTGGATGGAAGATCTTCCTCTCTGTCTCTCCTCCTCTCTCTATATATCTGACTTTGAAATAAAAATAAATTTTAAAAAATTTTTGAAGACCTTCTTGAAGAAAATGATGTTACAGTATGACCTATGGTCAGTAGAGAATTTAATGAGATAAAAACTGTTCTTGAAGAAATGAAAATAAAAACAAAAATATCATCAAAATCCATGAGATATAGTTTCCGCTGATCTTTGTCGACGAGGTATGTCTCCTGTAGGCAACAGATAGATGGGTTTGATTTTTCAGTCCAGTCTACTAATCCATGTTTGATTGATGCATTTAAGCCTTTTACATTCAGGGTTGACATGAACATGTGGTAACTTGGCCCTGTCGTTTTAGCAATGGGTTGTTCATTGATTTAGTCTTGTGTTGTTATATTACCAGGATGTTCTTCACATTTGCCCTTGGTTTTGGTGGGTGCTATTCCTTTTCTCTGTCAAGACATCATCTCTAAGTTGTCTTGCAGGGCAGGTGTGAAAGAGGCATATTCTTTGAACTTTTCTTTGTTGCAGGAGATTTTAATTTCATTTTCAAAGGCAAAGGAAAAAATCAATTAAAAAATAAACAAGAATTTAAAATTTTTTAAAAGGCAAAGGAAAGCTTTGCTAGGTACATTATTCTGGGCTGAATTTTTTTCCTTTTAGAATCTAGAATATGTCACTCCATTCTCTTCTGGCCTGCAGAGTTTCCTGAGAGAGGTAAGCTGTGAGTCTGATTGCCATTCCTCTGTACATGAATTGATATTTTTTACATGCAGATTTAAGGATTTTTCCTTATGTTCGATTAGCATGTGTTGTGATGAAGATCTCTTTTGGTCAACCCTGTTGGGAGTTCTGTGTCCCTCCTGTATTCTGTTTTCCAATCCTTTCTCCAGACTAGGAAAATTTTCCTTCATTATTTCATTAACTGTATTTTTAAACCCAGCTTCTCTTTCTGCACCTTCTAGAGCTCCCATAATTCATATTTGAATTAAGAAATTCTTGAATACTTTTTTTAGTGTGACCCAGCTCTGATTCCAGCTTTGTGATTGTTTCCGCATTGTGACAAGAAATATCTTCTACTTCTGAGATTCTTTCTTCTGCCTCATTCATTCTATTACAGACTTTGCACAGAATTTTTAATATTTTTAATATGCTCTATTGTATCTTTCATTTCCAATAATTCTACTTGATTTTGTTTCAGTGTTTCTATATTCTGGGTGACATATTCCTTAAATTCTTTGAACTCCTGCATGTGCTTCTGGTTGTTGATAAGAAACTTTATAACAAGTTTTCTGAATTCTGAATCCTCCATTTTCTTGATATATTCCACAGTTAACTCTGAGGTTGGCAAAGGCTTTTGTTCCTTTGCAGGGGAATCTTCAGTAATATTCATTGTGCCTCTATCTGTTCTTTTGCTCTTGATCATTGTACTTCTGGTTAGCAGATTCTTCTCGGGGCAGGTTTCTTTCTTTCTTTTTTTTTTTTTTTTTAAGATTTGTTTTATTTTTATTGGAAAGGCGGATATACAGAGAGGAGAGACAGAGAGGAAGATCTTCCGTCCGATGATTCACTCCCCAAGTGAGCACAACGGCCGATGCTATGCCGATCCGAAGCCAGGAGCCTCTTCCGGGTCTCTCACACAGGTGCAGGGTCCCAAAGCCCTGGGCTGTCCTCGACTGCCCTCCCGGGCCACAGGCAGGGAGCTGGAAGGGAAGTGGGGCCGCCAGGAATAGAACCGGCGCCCATATGGGATCTCGGGTGTGCAAGGCGAGGACCTTAACCACTGCGCCACCGAGTCCGTCCCTGTTTGTTTGTTTTAAGATTTACTTACTTTTATTTGAAAAGCAGATTTTTACGGAGAGAACAGGAGAGATATTGGCTGGTTCACTCCCCAAGTGGCCACAAGAGGCAGAACTGAGCTGATCCAAAATCAGGAGCTTCCTCCAGTCTCCCACGTGGGCGCAGGTTCCCCAGCACTTAGACCAGCCTGTGTTCCTTTCCCAGACCGCAGGTAGAGAGCTGCATTGTAAGTGGAACAGCCGGGATGAATCAGAGCCCACAAGGGCTGATGACGCTGCAGCAGGCGGATTCACCTACTGTGATGCAGACTGGTCTCAGGAGTAGAAGCTTTAAATATTGGTGCAATTCAAGAATATTTACCACTTAAAACTTTTTTTCCCCATTACAGATAGAGAAGTTTTATTTGTGACATGAGCAGGTGAATGTGGAAAGAAGACAGAAGGGGAAAGCACCTCCCAGGAGAGGGCTGGAAGATGGGTGCCTCTTGAAAAGAGAGAGGGAAGGCCCGGTGGCGTGGCCTAGCGGCTGAAGTCCTTGCTTTGAACGCCCCAGGATCCCATATGGGCACCGGTTCGTGTCCCAGCAGCTCCACTTCCCATCCAGCTCCCTGCTTGTGGCCTGGAAAAGCTGTCGAGGACGGCCCAAAGCTTTGGGACTCTGAACCAGTGTGGGAGACCCGGAGGAAGTTCTTGGCTTCGGATTGGCACAGCACTGGCCATTGCCCTCACTTGGGGAGTGAACTGTCAGATGGAAGATCTTTCTTTCTGTCACTCCTCCTCTCTGTATATCTTAAAAAAAGAGAGAGAGAGAGAAAGAAAAGAAAAAGGAAGAAAAGAGAGAGGGAGAGACACCCCCACTTTCTTTGTTTTATGGACCTCTGTTTTATATCATATCCAACATAGCATAATCCAAGGTCACACGTTTTTGCATAATTTTTCTCCTGTAAGTTTGATAGTTTCATATTTTGGCATTTTAGTTTATGCAACTTTGTCAACCAACAGATCTTGGAAAGAAGTTTCTCAATCCTAAAGCAGTGAAACCAACATCTTAGAATTATCAAAACCGCTCAGATAACAACATCAGAACTTTCTTCCCCACATAGGCTTGTCTAGAGCATCATAAAATGAGCGCATCCTACTCCTGCGTGCGGAGGTAGTTTGACCACAAAGAGCAGCCTCTCTCCCCTCCCCACCCTCTGCAGATACAAGATAAAAAGAAAAAAAAATCGGAAAACGTTTTTTCTTCCCTCCTTTCTCCATATGTCAACCCTCCCCACCCTAATCAGTGGCCCGTATGGACAC